TCCGCCACAATACTGTTGATCCACGTCCTCGTCAACAAGATAAGGCGGTGGTCGGTAAATCTCGATGCGTCGTTGACTAGTTATTGCTCGAGGTGCATGGTCTACGTGACCAAGTGGTGCATCTTAAAGACAAATTGGATCTTCTCTTGGTATATCCTCGACTTGTGGCTTCGCCAACTCTTTTGGCGCAATTGCCTCGTGATCCACCAGCGACGGATCAAGGTAAGGCTTTAGCAAGCCGAAGTGAAACACTGGGTGTATTCGCAACTTGCGTGGGATGCTGAGCTCGTAGGCTAGGACTCTATTAGCCACAACCGTAATCGGCCTAATCAAGCGAGGACGCAACTTGGTCCCGCAGACCTCTGATACCACCTTGGTCGGTATATTCTTAGAGTCAAGTTGTACTAGGTGTCCAACCTCATATCGTTCAATACACTTTCTGCCTTTGGCGTCAGCATGCTCGTTTTTTTTGTCCTGGCTATCAGCCATCGCATCACGTACATGTCGTAAGACATATAATTGCGCAGCAAAAATTCTCTCGCCTATTTCCGAACAGTAATTTTGGGATGACATCAGCAAGCCTATCAGCTTATCCTTCCCCACCAAGCCCAGAACGTCGTAAGGGAAGTGTTGATGGAATGCGTGGGTGGGTGAGACCATTCACGTAGAATGGAGTAAATCCAGCATATGAATGAACAGTCTTGATAACGAAAACTGGATTACCGGGAGCATAAAGCTATAACGCCTAGGAGTATCTGCAAAAACTCTGCGGAACATGTCACGAATGACACAGTTGACACCCTCAATTTGACCATATGTCTGCGGATTATCCGATGTGAACATGTCCAACCTATTCTCCGTGTTGACGAAACACACGGTCGAAACAGCTTTGCTGTACCTTCGCCATCGATGGAATCAGGCACAGTCGCTAAATGAGCCATCTTTCTTAACGGTCAACAAAGACCACAATACCAGTGTTGCCTTCCGAAATCTTCTGTAGGCCAAACACAAATTCCATACTGATGGACTCCCTACACCCAGTCGGTACAGGAAAACTATCAAGCGGTGCGACCGCATGTGCTGATGGTTTGACCCGTTGACACGTTTCACATGTACGCACATATGTTCTCACCCATTTGTACAACTTGGGTCACCAATAAATCTGGCTCACTGAGCTACATGTCTCCTCACGACCGATAGGACCACTAAAAGCAGTTTCATGTGCCTCAAAGAGGATGCGAAACTCCAAGTCCTTATCATGAGGAGCAACGATGCGAGGCACATCCTCAACACCCGTGCAATAGCACAACAACCCACCAAAGATGACATACCGATGTAGACTCGCACGTAAACGCGCTGAAAATCTAATCTCCAAGTCTTCGAATTTCTCGCTTCCAAGAGCATGCAGCAATGCTACACATTGCTTATCACGTGCATATGCCGCAAGAATTAAATCCACAATAAATGGCGACAGACTCGTAACACGATCAAGCTCATAATCAGGTCTGCGTGACAACGCATCAGCCAAAGCGTATTGCTTGCCCGGCTTCTACTTCACCTCAAAGTTGTATCCAGCAAAAAATGAAAGACAACGGGCCATACGCTGTGAGAGGTAAGGCGACTATGTTGCAGTGCGTAACGACGCATGATCTATAAAGATCACAAAAGGCTTTGAGCCACGTAGGTGGACTCTGAACTTAACAAGAGCATATATCATGAAGAGTAACTATTTGTCGTGAACTGGATAGTTCTTCTCTGCAGATTTGAGCTGACGAGATTCATACGTAATGACGCGCTCTTTGTCCATCGACGTCTGTCTACAATAATGCACAACCTATAGCAAAAGTGGACGCTTCACAGACGACACTGAAAGGCCACTCAGGGTCACGCAAAGCCATAATTGGAGCATGAAGGAGACTGTTTTTATAGATTTAAAAGCTTGAGCATGGGCTGCGTCCCAACACCAAACTGCATCCTCCTTGAGTAGTTTGATCAATGGCCTTGCCATATCAGCTTAGTTTGCACTATACTAGTGCGAGCGATCAGCAAGGCCGAGCCGTTTATGCAAGTCCTTTTGGTTCGACGTAAGCGGCCAGTCAAAAATTGACTTTACCTTAGCAGTATCCGCTCGATGGCCACGCTTTCGAATAAAGATCTATAAGAATTTATACCGCGCCAACAATGCATTTTAATGCATTTGCATACAGCTTGTTCGTGCGCATGACTCGAGCACTGCTAGTAAAAAGTTGAATGTAATCGTCCAAATTTGATCTGACATGTTCTTTACGGCAATAGACAGAGATGTCATTATGACAGCTTTGTGCATATCCTCGGCGAGGTTGGAACTATTGCGTCACAAGACGAATGAATGTAGCCAATGAACTAAACGGCCCTGGAGTCATGACAAGCCACTCCCAAAGCATACTGCTTGAGTAAGTATCCGCTGTGAGCGGAATATCGCTCGCTCGCATGAGCACTTGGTAATATCCATCGACCAAGTCGAGTGCACTGAACAAAGTACATCCTACTATAGCGTTCTGGAAAACATCCTTTTTTAGGAATAGGCGTCTGCGCCGGTATAGTGGCTGCGTTAAGCTTATTGTAAGGATGCACAAGACGGCACTTTCCATTTGGCTTTCTGATACAAAATGTCGGTGCCGAGTGCGGAGAATTGCTCTCACGAACCATGCTAGCCGCGTTCTTAGCACGAAAGAACTCGTCAATGACGTCACACTGCTCCTTTTATTGAAGACATTTCCGCGTCAAATAGTATTTTAGTTTCAGGAACCAGGTCAATTTATGACGTACGCCTCAAACAGGAGGCAAGGTTATAGGTGGGTCGCGACACACCATATCCTGAACTCCTTAACCAAAGGATAAAACAGGTCGTCGGTTTTTTTCAAGATCGATGGCCCACTTCGAGCACTCAGTGCCGCCTTCGTGTCTTCCAAGACAGCCTCGTCAAGAAGTGACGACGAGTTCAGCTTACTATCGGATCTAATGACCACCACTTCACATAATTCACCCGACTTCAAAGTCAGGCCAAAGTCATCGACAGACATTTCGTCGAATTCTAACAGAGTATACAGTGAGGGTGGAGTCTCAAGACTCACTGACCCATCTACGTCACCGGTCACTCTATTAACGAGTGTATATAGCTGCTCGCTAGTATCACTCAGTTACGTAACAGGCGCCTTGCGCTACAGAAAATCTTTCTGGCGTCTCTGTCGTCTCTGTGACGAGACTGAATGTCTCGAAGAGACTAGAACTTTCTCGCTTCCAAGGTTGATAGCATCATCATCCCTAACTTGCTCTGTAGAAGAGCCGGTGTCATTACCGACACCCGGGACATCAGTGTCTTCAAGATTGACCATCAACATTAAGTTTCTCATTACCAGAGCCTATATCATTACAGACAACTGGGACGTCACTGTCCCCAAGGTGCCAAACGACTTCAACCTTGATTTGCCCAGTAGCAGGACTGACGTCATTACCGACATCTGGGAATACACTGTCCCCAAGGTGACGAACGGCGTCAACCTCATTTGATCCATTTACGATCCGATGTCAGTACCGACATCTGGTGATGAGTCACTTCCAGTGAGATGACCACCCAGTGGGTACTAATAAGCCACTCCACGCTTACCAGATGGGTTCAACCCATAATGACTTTGCTCTAGGCCAACAATGCATTCAGTATTCAGTGATTCGTTATCACAACGATTATCACTCTACGAAGTACGTGCCATCTCACTAGCCGTCCTTAAGCTTGGCTCGTAACTAACATTTTTGACATCGTCAGATCAACGAGTTCAGCCGTACCGATTTCCAGCACACTGACTGTCTCAGTCCATGGCTGGCGCTAATAGCGTTTCTGTCTCCTAGCAGAGGTGGGCTCATGACTCTCCAAAGCTCCACTAGGAACAGCGCGCATTGCGATCAAGGTCTTTGACCTCAAATCAATCCATGGCTCATGGCGTTATAGCCAAGCCGTACCAAGAATAAGATCATATCTCTTATCCAAGTCAAGTACTAGACAGCATTCGATACTGTCAAAGTCCAAAAACTTCACGCCTCATTTCACAGGTACATTAGACACAGTGACTAATACATCTGTTTCCAAGCAAATAATGATAGTCTCATTCTTCCACGTTTTATCGCCTCAGCATACTGCTGACTAACTTCCATGGAACAACTTCGGACGTAATTATTCGAAGCCTCGGAGTAGATCAATATCGACCATGGCTTAGCAAATCCCTTTGCTATTTCTTTTTTGCAACTATTAAGACTGGCTTGTTCGCATGCTTTGTGACATTTTTCACGAATTCACTTAGGGCTTGGACCTGGTCTCCATTACCTCCCAGAGGCGCAACAGAGCATAACTCCTCCCCAGAAGGGATCCCCGCGCAAACTGGGACTTGACATTTTCCGCGCCTTACCAGCTCGTTGGTTAGCGACGAGAAGTCGGCTCGAATGAGCCGGTCAGGTCCTTCTCAAAGGACAATTGGGGCAAAGGTGTTTGATTCTTCCGCATGTAAAACATCTACGGATGTTCGAACGCTGCTTGACAGTGTAAGGCTCAGCTTCTTCGTCTCTTTAAGCGAGACTAAGATCTATAGGTTATACCCTAGCCAAGAGATCATCATTAGAATCGACTAAGTCCTTTATACATGGCGGGTCGACAGGAAGTGTGATTGCACGCGATATGCCTGATTTTAATTTAAGACTAAACGGAGAAAACGCCCGAGACAGCTGATATTTTAGTACGTCCCAGGTGGAAAAGCCTCTTTAGTCGAGGTAACAGAAGTAAACGCCCACTCCCTGGCTCGGCCGCCTAACTTTGAAAGGGCCAGGCGCACCTTCTGCTGCTCGACCACAGCAAGGCCGAACTGATGGCAACCTCCATCTCTCGAACCCAAAAAAGGATATTCCTGCCTCTTTCTCCTCAAAAGTCTTGATAGTTAAGACGAGAGGACGAGTCCTTGACTCAGTGTCCGGTATTATACATACCGAGTGGACATGGCAGATGCCAAACAGTCACGGACCTGTCCGATCAACGTGGACTCAAAGTTCGAGAAGGCCTCGAGACGTGCACAAAGTGCGTCCGGGCCTCGCGACAATATAAGTGCCACTTGCTCATGCCCTTTTAATGCTGTGAGCTTCTCAATCATAATCTGCTGGGCCTCAGAGAGGTTCATGGCCGTCTCCATCCTCGCAGAGGATTCTGTCTGTGGAGACTCAGGTTTAGATTAACTCAAGTGCTACCAAGTGTAGCGGAGCTACTTAGAGCTTTTAAACAGAGGAAGTCTTGGAATCAAAGAGTCTCTTACTTATAACAAACTAACAACGACGTACAGTCGTTCAAACGTACAAGCTTAACAATCTTGGCTCCAAAGGGATTACGATTCACAGAATCACACACTAACTAGTCACTACTAGTTAAATAAGAGTTAACGCCTTCACAAGGCCAACACTCTTACAACACGCTATGCCTTGACTAGGCACTAGCGTCCAACGATTCAAAAGGGGAACTTAATTTTATTTTTCTGTTTAGCAACGGTAATAAAACCCTAAAACCTTGCCTGATTGACTTCTACATTACGATCTTATGACAGAAGTCTGATTCCTTATCCTTAACCGATCAGGTGCGGTAGTACCGAAAGTACGTGGTACTAAGACTGTACCACTCAGATCCACCGATCCTTACGCGGTGTGGACACACACAACATAACTGGTTCAAAGAACCGCGTGTAACCCCGTTACAGTAGCGCTTTCGGTACACCTCATCTCTTGTGCCAATTTCCGCACACTTGTGAGCAACAAGATTGATGATGAACGTCCTACTTGATACAGACGAAACAATCAAAGTGGAGCCTTTAAAAAGGCGGCCGCTCATCGAGCCGAAACAAGACCGTATTTTTGGCTTCAAATAGGGTTTTACTGTGCCAGCCCAAAAAAAAGCCCATTTTCTAACGCTAAAATCAATCGGGTCTTCAGCCCTGGTGTGGATAATAACTCCCAAAAAAAAGCAGTTAAAGGTTACCTGGTTACGAAAGAATCTCGAGAGGATATCGATTCGTTGTAACTACGTAACCTTCAACCGTAACCACTCGTCTCGCAACCACAGACTTGCTCGACTACAGTCGTCGCGGATGACGATGGCCGACGCGCAGGAAGCGGCGACTACGACAGCGACCAGGACAGCCGAGGCTTCAGGACCTGAAGGGAACGCTGAGGTGTCGTCGTCGGTGCATTGTAACGAGGCGACGGGAGACGAAGACGTGCTGGACAGTCCGAGCGAGATGAAGAACCAGAAGAAGAAGAAGAAGAAGCGGAGTGCCAAGAAGAAAAAGAAGGGTACAGACACGGTTACGGTGGGGTACAAGGTACTGCCGTTCCGTGGTGTCTCAGGGTTTACAGATAGTTACGTGGCTGTAGGTCAGACGGACCCGCCCACGGTTCCCATTGAGCAGCTCTATCCCGATGGTCAGTATCCCGAGGGTGAGCTCCAGGCCCATCCGGGCGACTTTAATACGTTCCGCTCAACGAGCGAAGAGAAGCGGGCGCTGGACCGCGCGCAGGAAGATTTGTATGCGACGGTGCGCCATGCAGCAGAAGTGCACCGTCACGTGCGCAAGTTTGCACAGAGCATTATCAAGCCTGGCGTGAAGCTCATTGATATGTGCACGCAGCTCGAGAATAAGAATCGAGAGCTCGTTGTGGAGGCTGGTTTTGCTGTACGTGTATTGGGCGTTGCTGCCGCTCTAGGGTATGTGTCTTGGACGTGTTTGTGGTCATGTTGATGTTGTTGTTTGTTGTTGTGTGTGCTTGCAGCGTGGCATTGGATTCCCTACGGGCTGCTCGTTGAATCACGTGGCGGCTCACTATACACCTAACTCAGGTGACGAGACGGTTCTTTCGTACGGGGATGTCATGAAGGTGGACTTTGGCACGCACGTTAACGGGCGCATCATCGATAGCGCGTGGACAGTAGCGTTTGACCCGCAGTTTGATCCGCTGCTTGAAGCTGCTAAGGCTGCAACAGAGGCCGGCATTGCACATGCGGGCATTGATGCCCGTCTAGGTGAGATTGGTGGCTTCATTCAGGAAGTTATGGAGTCGTATGAAGTCACGATTGAGGGCAAGACTTACCCGATTAAGTCGATTCGTAATCTGAACGGCCACTCTATTGGTCCGTACCAGATCCACGGTGGCAAGAGCGTTCCGATTGTAAAGACGGACGACCAGACCAAGATGGAAGAGGGCGAGATTTTTGCGATCGAAACATTTAACACTACTGGTCGTGGCTACGTGATTGAAGATGGCGAGTGCTCGCACTATGCTAAGGCATTTGATGTGCCTCACGTACCTTTGCGTCTGCCGCGCGCTAAGAAATTGCTAGGGCACATCACTCGTACATTCGGCACGCTACCGTGGTGTCGCCGATGGATTGAACGTGAGGACGGTGGCTCGGCCACAATCAACCCAAAAGGCGCTAAGCAGGAGAAATATCTCATGGCTTTGAAAAACCTGGTGGATACGGGGATTGTTACTGCATACCCGCCGCTCGTGGATGTGAAGGGTAGCTACACGGCTCAATACGAGCACACGATCGTCTTGCGTCCTACGTGCAAGGAGGTTGTGTCTCGCGGTGACGATTACTAAGTGCAACTCTCAGCGGCGCGAGTAAACGGACAGGGAGCTGATATTGCTGGCGTCATGTGGCAGCTTGCGTTTGCAGTAGTGCTTGAGCAGATCCGAAGTTGAGTCTTTACGTTGTAATCGAAGTCCTCGTTCATTGCCATGAAATCGTTTGTAAGATTTGGAGTTTCGTTTGAGCGATGGCTTTCTAGCCTTTTTGTCGGTTGTGTGTTGCATCCGTAGTAGCGGCTGCAGCACTTGATGCCGTGCTTAACATCGTATTGCTGATCCTTTGCGCAGATGTTCTTTGCGATAAGCTCTATGAATGGGTCGCCAATGCAGCGAGGTAATGAAACGATGTCGAGTTTCGTTAAGCTCGACGTCGTCATTCGTTACCCTGCTGCATTCTTGTGCCGTAGTTCTGTCGATACCGACCTTATATGCCCTCTCCACTGTAAAGTCCGCTATTCTCCAGTGCTTCCACCTCCTGTCTTGCAGCTAACTAACTCTACGAATCGCTCTGGCATGACTTTCAGATAGAAGTGAGCGATCACCGTAACTAGCGGGGTGCAGATGTCGGTACTTTCGACTCGCTTGATTGCAACAGCAAGTGTAGATCGAGGCTTGCGGTGGACAGACCCACCGTAGAAATGACTGCACCAAGAGCTAGATAGTGGTGATTCCAAACTGACCTGCAATAAGTTTAGATCAAAGATGAACAGTCATTTCGCTTTCATGTGCAAATGCATGGACTTAACGAAAGGCTTCACAAGCTTAGGCCCAATGATGTGTCACTGTTGCACGTACCGTGAATGCACCACGCGTGATTTGCGACGTGTACCTATGGTCCTTGTTTTAACCTCATCGAGTATTGGCTGGTGTCTTCAGCATTACGCATTACAGTTGTGTCTAGGTTCGGCTGAAAGCGGTGTTTAGAACTTGTTGAGGCTGTTGGCACGCCGGTAAATCTTGTACAGGTTCATCTGATCGCATTATACAACGCTTTAGTATGGATGTCGCAGTTTCAAATGACCATTTCCAGCCGTTCAGCCTAAGCGTCAACACTTTTATCCCAATTTGACACCAAGAATCTGTAGAAGACGTCCAGCTGGTGATAAATGTCAATGCCTTTTACTTCTCCGGCCATAGCAACAAGCACGGTAGGCGAAGTGTGAGCTTCGGACCATACCCAGGTCTCATGTCGACCACTTGCCTCTAGTCTGTCAGACCTTGTTTGTGGTCATGCGGCTTATGTGAGCAGCTTTTACTAGATCCTTTCAGAGTAGTCTACCAGCCAATTGTTGAACGCCCAGCGCATTGGTTTCGATAGCGACACCAGTGTGCATGATTTTTCTTGGCATTCGTACCCATTATACGTACCCGCTCAATACTCTTGCGTGTGGGTGCTACCACTATAGTAAGTGAAAATCAGAATTTTCCGCACAAGCACGCACCATTTAAAACGTACCGTACGTACTAGCAGCCGTAATGACAACAGATATTCAATAGACAAGTTTCGATATACCTCGTTCGTAAAACGAATTTGACATGATCTGTGTGAAACATAGATCGCAATAGATTCAAGATCCTACGATATTACTTGCTGTTTCTTCATATGCACTGCTACGTGATGAACCCAAGCACGTATGTGCGACCTTCTTCTACCCGCTTTTTTCGCATGCATTCTCAGTCTATGTGACTAAATCTAGTTGTCAACTCCAGCAGGAATGTAAGCCACACGTAGTAGACAGACAACGTTCCATAGCGTGATGCAGAAGCGAAAAGCTCGATGATCGCGATTGTTCTGCAGAAATGTTGTCATTTTTGCAGATTGATTGCGATCATCGAGCTTTTCGTTCACGGTGAGTAAAAGCTAATTCATTGCTACAGGAACTAGGGATAGTCTGGAATCCGTGCATTTTCCTTTCCCGTATACTCTCACGAAAGCCATCGGTGGAGTGTGCGTAAGGGGTTGCCATCATCTAGAATTTTGTTTCAGTATTATATTAAGTAGGCTACAGATTCATGGAACTTCTAGTATGCTCAATAACTTAGTACATAAGTGGTAGTCCGGCTACTAGGGATAGCAAGCCAAATCACGTACAATTGAGCTAGATCCGGCTGTCGGAGTTCGGCTGCAGCGAAACCGGTTGATAAGGAGGGTAGCCTCCTTTTACGCTACATGCCAACCAACGGTGAGCCAATAGAATGCAGCATTCCATTGTTATGTGCGTTAGATTATGATCACACCGATGCTATTTGATAGTGGAAAAAGAACTTGTCGCTTATTGTAGTGCTATTCTATCGCAAGATGAGATACAAGAGTATGTGAACAGTTATTATACGATAGAGGAACAAGCTCCGGAGCTCGCCCTTTGATACATATATTCCAGTTCGGAGAAACTTAATCAGGTCGCAAAATACTATACAGCAGCAGCATTCACTGAAGAAGGAGTATGATGCTGTTAATGTCTCTATGACCCCAGTTTAGAATTCTTAAGCAACGTGATCAGCCTTTGCTAGTATGTAGCACTTGCTTATGTGATCACATTCACCTTTGATTAGTTTTAAGCCAATCACGCGCGAGCGTCGCAATAATGACATAGCCATAGAGTGACACCTATCATGCTCATCGACCTATGAGGGGGGACAAGCTAGATCGTACTTAGAGCGTAAAAGGTACACCTACCCGCGTATACAGACACACAGACACGCAGATAAGTACGCTTTAAAAGCTCGGCATTCAACCTTGTGCACACTCACTATTAGCTTCACCCTTCGGGATTGCAACAATTCTTTGCAAGATGAGCTACAAGAGTATTTACAGCGTGATCTTATACATACCGACGACCAAAGTTACCGGAGGTACATGGGATCGGTTGTCGAGTACAGATGAATTTAAAGCTCGGTGCACAAAGTCATGCTTAATTGCAACACCGTAGTGCGACTGTAAAGCTTGGTTGGATAGTACAAAGCGCAGCGGCATGTAGCTTCGTTTGCTCCCACTGACCCACCACCTATAGCATTTGCGTGGGCTCCTTGCGTTCCTACCACATTTACTCTGTGACCTGATACGTCTCCCTTCGAAAGTCCAGCTTGTCAAACGGAAACCGCAGATTAGATACCCAAACCACGTACTTGCACATGGCAATCTTAGGCCTAGGGAAGCTTTCTTGATGCGCCGCAACTGTGCATCAAAAACAAATGTTGGTGCTCTGGATTTCATCCGCCGCATCCAATCGCCAGGGCCATTTAATTTTCTTGAATGTTCATTCACAGCTCAACTCGCACTATCAAACTGTACGAGTCGACATGTGCCACCTACCTTGGACATATCACGCATTTGCCTTGATCGGGTGCAACAACTTTATCCACTTATGAGCAACAACCTTTACTGTCGTCAATCTTCTAATCCGCCAGCTCTTTCATCTTCTCTTTGACACCGCAGTAGGTAGTGAGTGAAATTCGACTTGTAAAATACATGCGCTGCGACTAGTGGCTTCGCTTAGAATGCAACAAAGTATCACGAATTACGTCACGTTCGTATACGATAAAGACGAATAACGAAACAGCTGGGCTTATTTCTTCTTTGGCTGGGTCCTTTCGCAAAAATAGTCATCAGTAATTTAACGGTAACTCCGAAGTAACTTAGAAGTACACCCAACTTCGTTAACCGTAGATCCCAAACCTTCAGTTTACTATCAATATGTACTCGCTTACCATTTTGAGTCCATGATGACAAATAGGGCGAAAACTGGCTAATACCCTATTTGAGTCGCTCCTTCTGCTGCTAGCGTTCCATACCGAGTAAAATATCACTTTTGACGCCATCGTAGCTACAAAATTAACAGGTCCACCAAAAATGATGCGTCCGCGTGATGGTGAACGCTTACGGTAGGGCGGCACATCTCGCCCAGGAATGTTGTCAGTAGCGCGCTTTTAGATAATGTTTCAAAACATAGTTGGTATCGATGAGATATTTACACCGTTCAAATTGCTGCAATTGTCTACAAGCAGCAAATTCGCATCGTATAATTGAACGGAGGAGGTTTAAGTGATCGTAGTTGAGCGGTATATATGCATATAGTGGTCTGCATCTTGCCTCTCGATCGCTTAAGTCCATCGAAGCTGATTCCTGCAGCCGAAGCCGAACGTAGCTAATAAACCTACAGGCTCAAAGTCATTTGCCTCTTTACGAACTGCCCTGGCATGCCTAAAGCATGTTCTTAACTAGTGTGGAGAAAAAATCCAACACTACAGAAATGCAATTTTGACTAATCATGCATCGTAGCTGAAACGCGACATCGATCCACGAGAAACCACCTCTGGCGAAGCGATCATCAAAAGTCTTTTTAAAACACTGGTAATTTGACGATATTTAACAACATACGTTTCAAACGACAAATCTCTTACTTTGTACCAAAAAAACGATCCTGCCAAATAAAAATGAGCCCAGCTGTTTAGCACATGTCATTTTAAATTACTTCGCTGCTGGAACTACCCTTGTGTCACATCTCGCCCGAAGATTACTCGAACTACTTTATTCATCCCACCAATTAGAAATTGAACAAAGGGGCTTACATGAGGGAGGATGAAGGGCACAGACCAGAAGCTGATTCGACACGACACGCCCCCTGCCACAAAAACAGACGGCCAGCTGCTACCTCTCAGCCAATGTCTACTCGAGGAATGACCTACTGATACAAAAGTGCAGCATTCGTCAACTTACCGTCTTTGGCTCAAGCATGCGCCAGTTGGGCGTCCTACTGCTGTTTGAACTCGCAGTGCTTGTCGCTATGCTGACACGAGCTGACGTTGTCACGAAAACCTCCGAAAAGACGATAGGCGACACTGCATCGTCGGCTGCGACCCATTCCGACGTTGCTATCGGGAGGTTCCGACGACTGGATGAGACAGAAGAAAGAGCTCTTTCCATTCCTTCTAGTTTATTGCCGCAATCCATCCCGCCAACCGGCATGGAGCTGATCGGATCCTGGTTCAAGTCGTTGAGGCCGATGATTAAGAGCAACTATGCTTCTTTTGCCGACTACAAGCATGGACCGTTAATGGTTGTGTACTACCTCAGGGCGTTGTGGCCGCAGATCTTGGATAGCGTTCGGACTCGATATTGGCTTTACCGACGTAAAACCATAGAAGACGTTTTCACGCTGCTGAAGCTCGATGCTGGACTGGACAAAGTTGCGTACAGTCGGGAGTTTTACACTTGGGTTGCGTTCGGCGATCTCTTACACACGCACCATTTGGCCGATAAGTGGTCAATTGCTCGGGTGCTATCGAAGACGTACACGGATTTGGAATTGGTGAGGGTAGTGGACGCGGCCAAAACCAAAAAGGATCGTCGAATGGCATTAAGATTGTCGCGTGGACAGAGGCACAATTGGGAAATTGCAAAAAAGTCTGCACTCGACATTTACACACTGCTCGGGCTTCACATCAAGAAAGAAAATGGAAAACTTAGAAACGTTTTCAACCTCCCCGAGCTGTACACATGGTACATTTACGTGTATACTAAGTATACTACGGATACAGACTTTCACGTCGTTTGGGTTTTGTCGACACATTACAGCAAGGAAGAGTTGAGGGTGCTGTTTCATACCACCGAGCTGCAAGGCTTGCTCCGAAAACAGCAATGTGTGGAGATAGAAACTGCGGTTGGCAAGTATCTGCTCGTGATCGAGCAGATCAAAGCTGTTGTCCAGCTCTACCTCTCCGCTTTGTTCATTGCGTGGAAAGGAAGTAGGATATGAAAACGCAGTAATCAAGATGTCCAGCCGAAGTCTGCCGTCACGACGCGATGCAAAGACGCGTGACTACGAAGACTGTGTGTCGTGTCGGACCTGAGCAATGTAAAGATCAGATGCGACTACATCAACAACATTCCTGCATGCCATTGTGGACGTGGAAGCTGCGTAAGCGGAGCTTTCAAGGTTCATCCGCATCTTGACGCTTTCAGTTCAAGGAGAATAATCGACTAGAGTAAACTGCTTGGTAATAACGTTTTCGTGAGTACACAATGATTGCCATGATTACCTGCGAAAACATGAGTATGTTCAGGTAGCTCGTGTCGTTGGTTGACTTCTAGGTAGTGTGCCTGTAACGGGGTGAATTATTGCATAACAATTTATAAGAAATTGTTAATAGAATATAACTAAAAGAATTACATTCTCAGAATATTGTCATAAGGACAAATATTCTGCAGCACTTACGAGCAGCACTTACGAGTAGTTCCTAATTGGTTGATATAGGCCATTACATCAACCAACGAAGACGCGCCACGACAGACGCACGCAATGAGTGGCGAGCAGATAGTTGATATACACATTTGTATTTAGACATAGTTAGATGAGGATAAACAGTGGTTTATTAACAGACATTACCTATTACAAATACAATTCTACTTTTTACTATAACCAAGTACTCGCTTCTCCTTACCGTCTTCCTCTGCACGTACCGGTGTACGTGAAGTTACGAGGCACCGCCTTATTCTGTCATCAGAATAAGTAGCTTGTACTGTCATCAGTACAAGCTTCAGGGTGCCCCGTTACACCTGGTAGCACTTCGTAGTCCGTCCAAGGACCACGTTCACATCTAACATGAATATGTTAGATGATGAAGATGACCAAAGCTTTCACGCTACGCGTGACGGCTACTCCCATTCGAGCGATGTCGAATGGGATGCGGTTGAACGGATGGGTTCAACCATGGGCATCCATGCTGTTAGCGTCATGCTAGAGGCTCTCAATAGAGATGCCCAACATGCAACAATCGCCAAGTTCATTCAGAATGAACTTGACGCTGAACGCGAGAAAGTGGCCTTGCTTCACCGACAAGGTTCTCAACAAGCAGAGTTGTTGAGATAACAGAGTGCTCAACAGTTTGAACTGTTGAGACAGCAGCAGGCGCTGCTGGTGGGTCGATGCACTCGCGTCGACCCGAGACCTTGAAGATTGACATCTCCAAGTATAGGGGAGTCGAAGAGGACTCCCTCTTGAGATGGTTTGCCGAATTAGGCGACGCCATAAGGGCGCGTCGCATGGACAACGGGGATTTGCAAGTCGCATTTTCCCAATCAAATCTGGCAGGACGTGCCAAGACTTGGGCTTTGGGTCTCAAGTTGCACGACCCATATGTGTTTGGGTCGTTAGAAGTCCTCAAGTCGCGGCTCAGACAAAAGTTTGAACCGCCTAGAGCTAAGTTCAGAGCTCGAACTGAACTCTTGAAGCTCAAAAAAGGTAAGCGTGATGTGCACGCTTACGCACAAAATATACGACATCTCACGAGTTGTATAATTTCCAACCCGGTCGATGAACACACGTTGGTTTCGGTGTTCATGTAGGGTCTTGCGGATGGTCCCGTCAAGACTCACCTGTTCCGACTTGAACTAGATTCCCTAGAACGAGCCATTTCCATTGCGGAACAGGAAAACTTCAGTCTGAGACAGGCTCGCGCCAGCTCGACATCATATCGTCCACCGAGACGATATGACAGCGGAAGTCCAGAGCCGATGGAACTCTGTTATGTAGAGAGCGAGAAGGCTCGCTCTACAGACTACAAGAAGTTGCAGAAATGCAACAGATGTCAAAAGACAGGACACTACGCTTACGAGTGTAGTGCCCCTCGTCCAGTGTCTCGCAACACTGGGCGTAATGACCGTCCACCCATGAGAAAGGGGCAAGGACGCGGGTCCGCTGTTGGTGCAAAGACGCAACAACGGGATGGACCGTAAAAAACGGACAGGATCAGTAGGTGCGGAGCACCCTACTGGTCCACCAACGTCAAGAGAATTTGTAGGCCTCTTGATGAAGGTTGCTCCCAACACACAAACGTTGTGCGTTGCTGCTCTAGGTAATGAGATCTCACTCATTACCTTGAACCTCGAAGTGACAAATAAGTTGTCCCTTCGAGCTCTAGTCGATTGTGGGGCGTCCAACGATTTTGTGCGACGCCAATCGCTAGAAGATGGTCACTTTAAGTTTGATGAATGTGACACACCTCCTACGAGGATGATGGTACGTCTTGCGACAGGCGCATCCGTAACCGTCATGAAGCGTATAGTGAAGATCCACAATACGCTAGAAGATACCCAATATGACGATGACTTTATCGTATTGGATTTGGATGACAAATTTGATGTCATCCTTGGAATACCGTGGCTCAGAAGGTACGAGCCACGGGTAAACTGGCAACATCGAACAGTAACGATGCCTGCCGCTTGTTCATCAGATGGCCATCTGATGAACGTTTTGGAGCGTCCACAAGCGTGTGGATGTACTACGAGTGAGTGCGATGGCCTCACTTGTGGTACGGTCGTTAGTACGACTGCACAAAACCTTAGTGTAACAAACAGTTACACTTCGGAGCAAGATTCCGGCGGCTGTGAGGAAACACAGGCTGCGCCGAAGGTCCACCACTCGAATAAGTCGAGTGGACCGGGACAAAGATGCATCCCTAGCGGGGAACATCTAGAAGAGAAACAATCGATCGCTCAGGTTAAGCGAATCGATTATCCTAGATCGACTGGAGAGTCTTTCGTAGAGGATCTCGCTGTGGTTGCGCAACCACAGCTAGAGGAAGTTAAGGGAATCAGTCCCGATATTTTACAAATACGGTGGAAATAAGTTCCCCGAAACCCGAGGGAATAAGTCTCCGGGAAGCCGAAGGAATAAGTCCTTCGAGGCCTGGGGGAATAAGTCCCCAGGAAATGACAGAGACATTGAATGTCCTAGTCAATGATGGATCAAGTGTAGGCGCTTATACACTTGATCTGATTGCGCCTCCGAAGTTGACTTCGGAGATCTCTCAGTTGCCAACGCTCGAACATAAAAGGTTCTTGCGTGATCTGCGTAGTGGCAAAGTCAAGCAGATCTGCGTACTCGTCGCTGACGACGAGTGTGTAGCCGACATAAGGTCAGCAACAAAGTTTACTGAGAACGCTAGAGTTCTCAGTAGTTCATCGATGGACAAGAGTGTCCTAGATGAAAAGACACGAATTGAGCGATATGACTCCCAATCGTGGGAATCGCTCAAGACAAATCCTCTCTATGACGATTTTGTTGAATTCAAGGATGTATTCCCTGAAACTGTTCCGTGCGAGTTACCGAAGGATAAAAGTACTCGACACGAGGTCGGGCTTAAACCAGGCTCGAAGTACTGTGTCATGAAGCAGTGGCCACTGCCTCGTGAACAAGTACTTGCGGTCGACAAGTTCTTTGCCGATCGTTTAGCTGCGGGCCATGTGAGGGAATCAACTTCCCCACATAGCTCTCCGACCTTCTGTGTGCGAAAAGCAACAGGAGGGTGGCGGATTGTGCATGCATTTAACAAGTTGAATGCTGCAACGGTACCGGCTCAGACGCCGATACCAAGGAAGGACGTAATCATTGATGGTATGTCAAAGAGTACCATCTTTTCGTCCATGGATTTGATGGATGGCTTCTATCAAATCCTTATGCGAGAACGGGACATACCCTATACCGCAGTGAGCACGCCTAGCGGCATGCTCTGGGAATGGCTAGTAATGCCACAAGGGCTTAGTAATGCCCCTGCCACGTTCAACAGATGTGTATCACATCTGTTGAGACCAGTACGAGAATTCGCACCGAGTTGTTTCGATGACGTATTCATCCATAGTCGGGCTATGGATGCAAAGTCGGATGTTGAGGTTCACAGGTACCACGTCCGACAGGTTCTTACAATCATGCGAAAGCATCAATTGTATGCCAACCTCAAGAAGTGTATATTTGCAGCAAGCGAAATACCACTTCTTGGGTGCATCGTTGGTAAGAACGGTGTACGTCCTGATCCCGAAAAGATCAAGGCGATCACCGACTGGCCTGTGCCAGTTGATGTCAAAGGTCTTCGAAAATTCCTTGGGCTAGCGGCGTATTTGCATAAGTATTCACGCAATTACGCCGAGATGACTGTACACCTCTCTCGTTTGTTGAAAAAGAACGAGAGGTGGTTATGGAACGCTGAATGTCAGCGCTCCTTTGATGGTATCAAGCAGAGCTTGATACAATCCCCAGTCCTGGCAATTGCCGATCAGGACAGGCCATTTCATGTGGTCTGTGATGCCAGCGATTTCGCAATCGGCTGTGCATTAATGCAGTACGATCTTGAAGGCGTTGAACGTGTCGTCTGCTATCAGTCGCGTCAGCTGCAACCAGCTGAGCGGAACTATCCAGTGCATGACAAGGAACTTCTTGCCATGAAGTATGCACTCGCGAAGTTCAGAGTCTATCTATTAGGAGATAGACCCTTCATTGTTTACACAGACCATGCGTCGTTACGCACGGCAGTAAACAACCCGCACCTTTCACAACGAATGGCGCGGTGGTTTTCATTCTTTGCAGAATACAACTTTACGGTAGAGTACAAACCAGGACGACTTAATGTCGTCGCTGATGCACTCTCACGTCGGCCCGACTTTGAACCAGTCGTGAAACCCAACAGTGAGACAGCCACTGTTGCGGTTATGACGTCCACCATACCATCTTCAACGTTACATGATGATGTGAGGCGGGCGTATGCCCAAGATGGTGAGATTGTGAAGTTGTTGACACATCTCTCACAACCATCTCGAGAATCGTTGAAACGATTATCGTCTGCGTATCGATCTGCATCAGATCGATACACTACTCGCAACGGTTTACTGTATTATACAGCCGTTTCTGGTGACACACCACGTGTTGTCATCCCAGATGATACTGATCTGCGTTTGCGGATCATGTTCGAGTATCACGATGCTCCTATAGGAGGACATCGTGGCCGTGAGAAAACATATCTCACGGTGAGTCGAGACTTTTACTGGCCCCGCCAGTATCAGTTTGTGCGAAAGTATGTTCGCGCATGCGAAGTCTGTCAACGAGTGAAGTCAAGTCCTTCACTGCGTGCACCTTTACAGCCTCTACCGGTTCCGGCTGAGTGCTGGGAATCCATCTCAATGGATTTCGTCTTCGGGTTACCCAAAGACGCACGCGGGAATACGGGTATTCTCGTATTTGTTGACAGATTCAGCAAAATGGTACACCTTGTGGCTGTACCAGAGTCAATCACGGCAAGTGGCTGTGCTTGTGTCTTTATCGACACCATCTTCCGACTTCATGGGTTGCCCCGTGAACTCGTATCAGACAGAGATCCACGCTTCACTGCTGATTTCTGGCGCTCCGTGTTCAAATCACTCGGAACGCGCTTGAAGATGTCGACATCTGATCATCCAGAGTCAGATGGTCAGACGGAACGAGCCAATCGTGTCCTCGAAGAGATACTTCGAGGATACGTACACTCCTTTAAGAGTTGGAGTGAGTTCTTGCCAATGGTAGAGTTTGCCATTAACAACTCGGTGCATGCGTCCACGACACATACACCGTTTTACGTGAATGGCTTGCGCCATCCGCGTGTACCCACCTTACTAGAGTGTAACTCTGGTTTAAGGGGGGAGGGACTCGCGCGAGCAAAAACCGATTTGGTTCACGCTCATCACGCTCTGACGAAGAGGTCATTGCGTTTGATGCCGATATCGACAACATCGATATCGAAGAAGATGATGCCAGTGAGAGCGCGGAAGCCCTCACTGAAGAAAAGATTGATGTCGCTGCAGTGCACTCACAGCGCACTGAAGCTAACGAGTCAGCAGATGAGTTCATACTGGCTCGTGAAACGGTAGTCCGTTTTGTGCAAGACTCCATCGCCGAAGCGGTGGATAAGCAAAAGCAAAACGCAGACAAGAATGGAAGGGCAAACACTCTTTTATTTAATAAAGGTGACTTAGTCCTACTGTCTACGGTTAACCTACCAAAGCATGTAGTGACTAACTTGGGTAGTAGTAAACTTCTACCCAAGTACATCGGCCCATTTCGTGTATTGCATCGCCTAGGCAACGCATACACGATCGAACTGCCACGTAAGATGCGAACGCATCCCACGTTTTACGTTGGTCGGCTTAAGCCGTACCATCAGTACGCTGCTTCTTCCGATGAAGAACGCCCTTGCGCTCAAGCATCTCACAGAGGGCCTTGTGCTCCCGATGGTGGATATCAACAAGGGTCTGAAGAGCAGTTATCTCAGCCCGAGACCGGTCAATATCCACACGAGCTACCCTTAGCTCGTCACGCAGAGATGTCAAAGCTCTCTCGTTCTCAAGCTGAGAAAAAGCAAACTCAGCTCGATGCTTCAAGACAGTGTCCGCCAGTTCAAGACGCCTGTCCCGCTCATGTTCGAGGTCTCCGCGTAACGCAGAGTTACGCGATCAAAGAAGCTCTCGGAGACACACGCTCCCCCACAATAGCTTGGAGAGCGTTTTCCCTTCTCCTCCACCTCCATTAGAGGACTCTCGCGGTGGCCAGCGCTATCTGGTTGAGCAGCTGTTGAACCACCGCGATGTGAACGGACGTCGGACGAGTTACCTCGTCCGGTGGCGCGGCTATCCCCCGTCCTGGGATACTTGGGAGCCCCGCTCCCAACTGATGATTGACGTACTGGGTCTGGTTGAGCAGTACGACGCGGCACATCCTGTGCCGCAGAAGGACCGCCGGAGAAAGTCTTCCCGGCACGGTCGTAAAGGGATTTCAGGTTGTCAATCCCTTCGTACATCTCACTAGAGATACGTACGCGCCACCACGGGCTAGTAAGGAGGTAAGCCTCCTTAGGTGCGCGCGCAGAGTTGTTCACACAACAAGGGCACGGGTCTCCCCAGGAAAGACAGGGTAACCCACCCTCCTTTGACAGACGATGCAGCTTATAGCGTGCACCTGTCGGGGTTCTCTTTTCAAACTTATCACGAGCTTTGATAAGTTTGTCGTTCCAAACGTCACGACCTACATCCTCAAGGTTATGGATGTAAGCGTTCCACGCTTGAAGCAGTGAGGGACCATCACGTTTGTGATTCCCACTGTACCATCGATGCTTAAAGAAAGCATCGATGAAGAATTCATGGTCAGTGTGATAGTCTTTCGCACTGGGGTCAAGGTGACGGATCCTTGATGAATCGAAGAATCGTGTTCGATAGCGATACCTGTCGTCGCCGACAAGCGATCCATGACCGGGTTTGGAGGCAGCCATGCTTTCTTTTCAGGAGCGAGACGCAACACATTGCGGTCCCGCTCTTACTGCGACGTGCCGACAGAAGTACTGGCACCTCGCTGCGAAGTGGTGTCAATAGGAGAACCGACACCACTGTGAGCGCCCGAGTCTTGCGATCTCTAGCGCCTTCGCTTTGGCGATGGTTCATCTGATTCATCAGACGAACCAAAGATGCTACGACGTGTAGCATCATCCATGCCACGTTTGGCAGGCGGCTTGGTTTCAACCGCCTTCGATACGGATCCCTCTTCCGTATCAGGAGAGTATGAGACACTCAGCTCATACTCTGTGAAGACATGAGTGTCTTCATGACGAGCGTCTGCATCACCAGGTGATACAGACTGAGACGCTTCAGCAACCGATGACACATCGGTTGCAGCGTTTTCTGCTTCGGCGTCCGCACAGAGACGTGCAGACGCGCTCTCAGCGGCCTTGTTCGCGCACCGCATGGACTTGTGAGCCATGCGATGAAACTGATGGACTGTGGACTCGGACCAACAAGTGCAAACCCTGTCCCAAATGATTTGGGACGAGTATCCATTTAGTCAATCAGTCACTAAAGTGACTGATGGTTAAGGGGGGGTGATGTAACGGGGTGAATTGTTACATAACAATTTATAAGAAATTGTTAATAGAATATAACTATAAGAGTTATATTCTCAGAATATTGTCATAAGGACAAATATTCTGCAGCACTTACGAGTAGTTCCTAATTGGTTGATATAGGCCATTATATCAACCAACGAAGACGCGCCACGACAGACGCACGCAATGAGTGGTGAGCAGATAGTTGATATACACATTTGTATTTAGACATAGTTAGATGAGGATAAACAGTGGTTTATTAACAGACATTAACTATTACAAATACAATTCTACTTTTTACTATAACCAAGTACTCGCTTCTCCTTACCGTCTTCCTCTGCACGTACCGGTGTACGTGAAGTTACGAGGCACCGCCTTATTCTGTCATCAGAATAAGTAGCTTGTACTGTCATCAGTAAGAGCTCAGGGTGCCCCGTTACACATCGTATCCCTCAATAAGATCCTGCAGTGGCATGACAAGCGCGGACTGGACGCTTCATTGCAGAGTCCTTTACGAACCACAACAACGTCAAGTATAAAGTTGGTTTACGCCAACTGACTACAGCCTCACTTCACCGTTCGCACATGATCGTGTCCACTCACATCTCGTAAAGTGCGACGTAGCTGCTTCTTGATTTTGGTCGTGCAACTAACTTCGTATTGTAGACTCTGCGTTCATTTCATCCAAATCATCCTCTGCGCTTTTTGACGACGACTTGGTCCTACTTGTTGTACCTTTAAACGCATTGATCACTACATTTGCAGACGCCTCCCGTTTCTTAAATGATGCCACTGGACTCGTGATGTGGCAAATCACTTTACCGTCGCATTCTATGTTAGGTCGCTTGCGCCCTATAGTCCTACAGCCCCGTGACCGTATGCTTTAACAAGCATCACGCGGCGGGACATGGTATATCGCGGCTGTTTCTTTGTGATGAAGTTGTTCACACTGAAGAGGCAACGAAAACGCTGCAAAGCAAATAAACGCCATTCGGCACACGTTAGGTCACTGTAACGGGGCATCCTCTGGCTTGTACTATGACAGTACAAGCTACTTATTCTGATGACAGAATAAGGCGGTGCCTCGTAACTTCACGTACACCGGTACGTGCAGAGGAAGACGGTAAGGAGAAGCGAGTACTTGGTTATAGTAAAAAGTAGAATTGTATTTGTAATAGGTAATGTCTGTTAATAAACCACTGTTTATCCTCATCTAACTATGTCTAAATACAAATGTGTATATCAACTATCTGCTCATCGCTCATTGCGTGCGTCTGTCGTGGCGCGTCTTCGTTGGTTGATGTAATGGCCTATATCAACCAATTAGGAACTTTTCGTAAGTGCTGCAGAATATTTGTCCTTATGACAATATTCTGAGAATGTAATTCTTTTAGTTATATTCTATTAACAATTTCTTATAAATTGTTATGCTATAATTCACCCCGTTACATCACCCCCCCTTAACCATCAGTCACTTTAGTGACTGATTGACTAAATGGATACTCGTCCCAAATCATTTGGTACAGGGTTTGCACTTGTTGGTCCGAGTCCACATCCCAACAGTTTCATCGCATGGTTATCAAGTCCATGCAGTGCGCGAACAAGGCCGCTGAGAGCGCGTCTGCACGTCTCTGTGCGGACGCCGAAGCAGAAATCGCTGCAACCGATGCGTCATCGGTTGCTGAAGCGTCTCAGCCTGTATCACCAGGTGATGCAGACGCTCGTCATGAAGACACTCATGTCTTCACAGAGTATGAGCTCGGTGTCTCATACCCCCCCTGATACGGAACAAAATTCCGTATCGAAGGCGGTTGAAACCAAGCCGACTGCCAAGCGTGGCATGGATGATGCTACGCGTCGTAGTATCTTTGATTCGTCTGACGAATCAGACGAACCATCGCCAAAGCGAAGGCGCTCGAGATCGCAAGACTCGGGCGCTCACAGTGGTGTCGGTTCTCCTATTGACACCACTTCGCAGCGAGGTACCAGTACTTCTGTCGGCACGTCGCAGGAAGAGCGGGACCGCAGCGTGTTGCGTCTCACTCCCGAAAAGAAAGCATGGCTGCCTCCAAAGTCTGTCATGGATCGCTTGTCGGCGATGACAAGTGATCGCTATCGAACACGATTGTTCGATTCATCAAGGATCCATCACCTTGACCCCAGTGCGAAAGACTATCACACTGAACATGATTTCTTCATCGATGCTTTCTTTAAGCATCGATGGTACAGTGGGAATCACAAACGTGATGATCCCTTACTGCTTCAAGCGTGGAACGCTTACATCCATAACCTTGAGAATGTAGGTCGTGACGTTTGGAACGACGAACTTATCAAAGCTCGTGATAAGTTTTGAGCAGAGAACCCCGACAGGTTCACGCTATAAGATGCATCGTCTGTCAAAGAAGGGTGGGTTACCCTGTCTTTTCTGGGGAGACCCGTGCCCTTGTTGTGTGAACAACTCAGCGCGCGTACCTAAGGAGGCTTAACTCCTTACTAGCCCGTGGTGGCGCGTACGTATTCCTACCGAGATGTACGAAGGGATTGACATCCTGAAATCCCTTTACGACCTTTCCAGGAAGACTTTCTCCGGCGGTCCTTCTGCGGCACAGGATGTGCCGCGTCGTACTGCTCAACCAGATCCAGTAAGTCAATAATCAGTTGGGAGCGGAGCTCCCAAGTATCCCAGGACGGGGGATAGCCGCGACACCGGACGAGGTAACTCGTCCGACGTCCATTCACATCGCGGTGGTTCAACAGCTGCTCAACCAGATAGCGCTGGTCGCCGCGAGAGTCCTCCAACGGAGGTGGAGAAGGAGGGAAAACGCTCTTCAAACTATCGTGTGGGAGCGTGTGTCTCCAAGAGCTTCTCTGATCGCGTAAAGCTTGCGTTACGCAACGACCTCGAGCATGAGCGGGACAGGCGTCTTCAACTGGCGGACACTGTCTTGAAGCATCGAGCTTAGTATGCTTTTGCTCAGCTTGAGAACGAGAGAGCTTTGACATCACTGCGTGACGAGCTAAGGGTAGCTCGTGTGGATATTCACCGGTCTCGGGCTGAGATAACTGCTCTTCAGACCCTTGTTGATATCCACCATCGGGAGCACAAGGCCCTCTGTGAGATGCTTGAGCGCAAGGGCGTTCTTCATCGGAAAAAGCAGCGTACTGATGGTACGGCTTAAGCCGACCAACGTACAACTTAGGATGCGTTCGCATCTTACGTGGCAGTTCGATCGTGTATGCGTTGCCTAGGCGATGCAATACACGAAATTTACCGATGTACTTGGATAGAAGTTTACTACTACCCACGTTAGTCACTACATGCTTTGATAGGTTAACCGTAGACAGTAGGACTAAGTCACCTTTATTAAATAAAAGAGTGTTTGCCCTTCCATTCTTGTCTGCGTTTTGCTTTTGCTTATCCACCGCTTCGGCGATGGAGTCTTGCACAAAACGGACTACCGTTTCACGAGCCAGTATGAACTCATTATCTGACTCGCTAACTTCAGTGCGCTGTGTGTGCACTGCAGCGACATCAATCTTTTCTTCAGTAAGGGCTTCCTCGCTCTCACTGGCATCATCTTCTTCGATATCGATGTTGTCGATATCGGCATCAAACGCAATGACCTCTTCGTCAGAGCGTGATGAGCGTGAACCAAATCAATTTTTGCTCGCGCGAGTCCCTCCACCCCTTAAATCAGAGTTACACTCTAGTAAGGTGGGTACACGCTGATGGCGCAAGCCATTCACGTAAAACGTGTGTGTGTCGTGGACGCATGCACCGAGTTGTTAATGGCAAACTCTACCATTGGCAAGAACTCACTTCAACTCTTAAAGGAGTGTACGTATCCTCGAAGTATCTCTTCGAGGACACGATTGGCTCGCTCCGTCTGACCATCTGACTCTGGATGATCAGATGTCGACATCTTCAAGCGCGTTCCGAGTGATTTGAGCACGGAGCGCCAGAAATCAGCAGTGAAGCGTGGGTCTCTGTCTGATACGAGCTCACGGGGTAACCCATGAAGTCGGAAGATGGTGTCGATAAAGACACAAGCACAGCCACTTGCCGTGATTGACTCTGGTACAGCCACAAGGTGTACCATCCTGCTGAATCTGTCAATAAATACATGAATACCCGTATTCGTGCGTGCGTCTTTGGGTAACCCGAAGACGAAATCCATTGAGATGGATTCCCAGCACTCAGCCGGAACCGGTAGAGGTTGTAAAGGTGCACGCAGCGAAGGACTTGACTTCACTCGTTGGCAGACTTCGCATGCGCGAACATACTTTCGCACAAACTGATACTGGCGGGGCCAGTAAAAGTCTCGACTCACCGTGAGATATGTCTTCTCACGGCCACGATGTCCTCCTTTAGGAGCATCGTGATACTCGAACATAATCCTCAAACGCAGATCAGCATCATCTGGGATGACAACACGTGGTGTGTCACCAGAAACGGCTGTATAGTACAGTAAACCGTAGCAAGTAGTGTATCGATCTGATGCAGATCGATACGCAGACGATAATCGTTTCAACGATTCTCGAGATTGTTGTGAGAGATGTGTCAACAACTTCACAATCTCACCATCTTGGGCATACGCCCTCCTCACATCATCATGTAACGTTGAAGATGGTATGGTGGACGTCATAACCGCAACAGTGGCTGTCTCACTGTTGGGTTTCACGACTGGTTCAAATTCGGGCCGACGTGAGAGTGCATTAGCGACGACATTAAGTCGTCCTGGTTTGTGCTCTACCGTAAAGTTGTATTCTGTAAAGAATGACAACCACCGCGCCATTCGTTGTGAAAGTAGCGGGCTGTTTACTGCCGTGCGTAACGACGCATGGTCAGTGTAAACAATGAAGGGTCTATCTCCTAATAGACAAACTCTGAACTTCGCGAGTGCATACTTCATGGCAAGAAGTTCCTTGTCGTGCACTGGATAGTTCCGCTCGGCTGGTTGCAACTGACGCGACTGATAGCAGACGCACGTTCAACGCCTTCAAGATCGTACTGCATTAATGCACAGCCGATTGCAAAATCGCTGGCATCACAGACCACATGAAATGGCCTGTCCTGATCGGCTATTGCTAGGACTGGGGATTGGATCAAGCTCTGCTTGATACCATCAAAGGAGCGCTGACACTCAGCGTTCCATAACCACCTCTCGTTCCTTTTCAACAAACGAAAGAGGTGTACAGTCATCTCGGCGTAATTGCGTGAATACTTATGCAAATACGCCGCTATACCAAGGAATTTTCAAAGACCTTTGACAGCAATTGGCACAGGCCAGTCGGTGATCGCCTCGATCTTTTCTGGATCAGGACGTATACCGCTCTTACCAACGATGCATCCAAGAAGTGGTATTTCGCTTGCTGCAAATTACACTTCTTGAGATTGGCATACAGTTGATGCTTTCGCATGATTGTAAGAACCTGTCGGACGTGGTACCTGTGAACCTCAACATTTGACTTTCCATCCATAGCCCGATTATGGATGAATACGTCATCGAAATAACTCAGTGCGAATTTTTGTACTGGTCTTAACAGATGTGTATCACATCTGTTGAACGTGGCAGGGGCATTACTAAGCCCTTGTGGCATTACTAGCTATTCCCAGAGCATGCCGCTAGGCGTGCTCACTGCGGTATAGGGTATGTCCCGTTCTCGCATAAGGTTTTGATAGAAGCCATCCATCAAATCAAGGGACGAAAAGATAGTACTCTTTGACATATTATCAATGATTACGTCCTTCCTTGGTATCGGCGTCTGAGCCGGTACCGTTGCAGCATTCAACTTGTTAAATGCATGCACAATCCGCCACCCTCCTGTTGCTTTTCGCACACAGAAGGTCGGAGAGCTATGTGGGGATGTTGATTCCCTCACACGGCCCGCAGCTAAACGATCGGCAAAGAACTTGTCGACCGCAAGTACTTGTTCACGAGGCAGTGGCCACCGCTTCATGACACAGTACTTCGAGCCTGGTTTAAGCCCGACCTCGTGTCGAGTACTTTTATCCTTCGGTAACTCGCACGGAACAGTTTCAGGGAATACATCCTTGAATTCAACCAAATCTTCATAGAGAGGATTTGTCTTGAGCGATTCCCACGATTGGGAGTCATATCGCTCAATTCGTGTCTTTTCATCTAGGACACTCTCGTCCATCGATGAACTACTGAGAACGAGAGAGTTCTCAGTAAACATTGTTGCTGACCTTATTTCGGCTACACACTCGTCGTCAGCGACGAGTACGCAGATCTGCTTGACTTTGCCCCTACGCAGATTTCGCAAGAACCTTCTATGTTCGAGCGTTGGCAACTGAAAGATCTCCGAAGCCAACTTTGGAGGCGCAATCAGATCAAGTGTATAAGCGCCTACACTTGATCCATCATTGACTAGGACATTCAGTGTCTCTGTCATTTCCTGGGGACTTATTCCCCCAGGCCTCGAAGGACTGATTCCTTCGGCTTCCCGTAGACTTATTCCCTCGGGTTTCGGGGAACTTATTTCCACCGTATTTGTAAAATATCGGGATTGATTCCCTTAACTTCCTCTAGCTGTGGTTGCGCAACCACAGCGAGATCCTCTACAAAGACTCTCCAGTCGATCTAGGATAATCGCTTCGCTTAACCTGAGCGATCGATTGTTTCTCTTCTAGATGTTCCCCGCTAGGGATGCATCTTTGTCCCGGTCCACTCGACTTATTCGAGTGGTGGATCTTGGGCGCAGCCTGTGTTTCCTCACAGCCGCCGGAATCTTGCTCCGAAGTGTAACTGTTTCTTACACTAAGGTTTTGTGCAGTCGTACTAACGACCGTAGCACAAGTGAGGCCATCGCACTCACTCGTAGTACATCCACACACTTGTGGACGCTCCAAACGTTCATCAGATGGCCATCTGGTGAATAAGCGGCAGGCATCGTTACTGTTCGATGTTGCCAGTTTACTCGTGGCTCGTTCCTTCTGAGCCACGGTATTCCAAGGATGACATCATATTTGTCATCCAAATCGAATACCACAAAGTGATCATCATATTGGGTATCTTCTAGCGTATAGTGGATCTTCACTATACGCTTCATGACGGTTACGAATGCGCCTGTCGCAAGACGTACCATCATCCTCGTAGGAGGTGTGTCACATTCATAAAAATTGAAGTGACCATCTTCTAGTGATTGGCGTCGCACAAAATTGTTGGACGCCCCACAATCGACTAGAGCTCGAAGGTACAACTTATTTGTTACTTCGAGTTTCAAGGTAATGAGTGAGATCTCATTACCTAGAGCAGCAGCGCACGACGTTTGTGTGTTGGGAGCAACCTTCATCAAGAGGCCTACAAATTCTCTTGACGTTGGTGGACCAGTAGGGTGCTCCGCACCTACTGATCCTGTCCGTTTTTTACGGTCCATCCCGTTGTTGCGTCTTTGCACCAACAGCGGACCCGCGTCCCTGCCCCTTTCTCATGGGTGGACGGTCATTACGCCCAGTGTTGCGAGACACTGGACGAGGGGCACTACACTCGTAAGCGTAGTATCCTGTCTTTTGACATCTGTTGCATTTCTGCAACTTCTTGTAGTCTGTAGAGCGAGCCTTCTCGCTCTCTACATAACAGAGTTTCATCGGCTCTGGACTTCCGCTGTCATATCGTCCCGGTGGACGATATGATGTCGAGCTGGCGCGAGCCTGTCTCAGACTGAAGTTTTCCTGTTCCGCAATGGAAATGGCTCGTTCTAGGGAATCTAGTTCAAGTCGGAACAGGTGATTCTTGACGGGACCATCCGCAAGACCCTGCATGAACACCGAAACCAACGTGTGTTCATCGACCGGGTTGGAAATTATACAACTCGTGAGATGTCGTATATTTTGTGCGTAAGCGTGCACATCACGCTTACCTTTTTTGAGCTGCAAGATTTCAGTTCGAGCTCTGAGCTTAGCTCTAGGCGGTTCAAACTTTTGTCTGAGCCGCGACTTGAGGACTTCTAACAACCCAAACACATATGGGTCGTGCAACTTGAGACCCAAAGCCCAAGTCTTGGCACGTCCTGCCAGATTTGATTGGGAAAATGCGACTTGCAAATCCCCGTTGTCCATGCGACGCGCCCTTATGGCGTCGCCTAATTCGGCAAACCATCTCAAGAGGGAGTCCTCTTCGACTCCCCTATACTTGGAGATGTCAATCTTCAAGGTCTCGGGTCGACGCGAGTGCATCGACCCACCAGCAGCCTGCTGCTGTCTCAACAGTTCAAACTGTTGAGCACCCTGTTCTCTCAACAGCTCTGATTGTTGAGAACCTTGTCGGTGAAGCAAGACTACTTTCTCGCGTTCAGCGTCAAGTTCATTTTGAATGAACTTGGCGATTGTAGCATGTTGGGCATCTCTATTGAGAGCCTCTAGCATGACGCTAACAGCATGGATGCTCATAGTTGAACCCATCCGTTCAACCGCATCCAATTTGACATCACTCAAATGGGAGTAGCCCTCACGCGTAGCGTGAAAGCTTTGGTCATCTTCATCATCTAACATATTCATGTTAGATGTGAACGTGGTCCTTGGATGGACTACGAAGTGCTACCAGGTGTAACGGGGCACCCTGAAGCTTGTACTGATGACAGTACAAGCTACTTATTCTGATGACAGAATAAGGCGGTGCCTCGTAACTTCACGTACACCGGTACGTGCAGAGGAAGACGGTAAGGAGAAGCGAGTACTTGGTTATAGTAAAAAGTAGAATTGTATTTGTAATAGGTAATGTCTGTTAATAAACCACTGTTTATCCTCATCTAACTATGTCTAAATACAAATGTGTATATCAACTATCTGCTCATCGCTCATTGCGTGCGTCTGTCGTGGCGCGTCTCCGTTGGTTGATGTAATGGCCTATATCAACCAATTAGGAACTACTCGTAAGTGCTGCAGAGTATTTGTCCTTATGACAATATTCTGAGAATATAACTCTTATAGTTATATTCTATTAACAACTTCTTATAAATTGTTACGTAATGGTTCACCCCGTTACACAATGAGGACATGGCTCCGACTAAGAGGTGCGTAAAGAATGATGTTTGCTCGATTTGTAGGTCATGCAACAATACCTCGAGCGATGCAATTAAGTCTTATCATCCGGATTTAGGTAGAGCAAGATGTCGCGTCGGCCGGGCTCGGAAAGTACAATCATGTTGACGAGTACATGTTGCAGTCACAGTGGACTCTTTTAGATGCACACGTGATGAGGAAACGTTCCGAAGTTATCGTGTGCTCAAGCGTGATTGTAAGCTACACCTCCTACGTGAAGTTTTAGATGGGCAGAACGTCATTGCTGCAGAAGAGTTGCCGAGAAGACACTTTGTCGCTCGAATGTCAGGTGAAAGCACGGACGTCGAAGTCGGACGACGCACTACTATGGTTGGACACGAAGCGCTTTGGAAGGCAGATGTTTCGACGACAATCGGGAGCGTTCACCGACGAATCGACCGCATGTTCGACTGCTGCAATGGTTAAAGATCCTTGGTTCACTAGCATCTTTGACAAAGACTCTTCATTCTTGTAGAGAGGCAGCTGTCGATGTGTGCTCAGCCTGATTCAATGGCCATTTGCATCCTGGTGTTTAGCAGATCGGTTGCTACCATTTCCTGGTTACAAAACCGTGAAGACACGACGCCACGTGGGGTATAATGTCGGCTTCTTGCAGTCATGCGCTGGCTACGCATTCTTAGTCTCATTTTCGAATGATGGCCCTGTCTTCGACGATCGGGGTGTACCGCTGCAACGGACGTCGACTAAAAAAGATCGCTGCTACGGCTGAAGTAGCGCGGCATCGACTACGTGCCCAGTGCGCATCTCTAAGCTCGACAGAAAAAGCGAGATACTTGCTTTTCGTTACGTAAATGCTGACGTGAGTTGGTGTTGGCCACAGCGGGTCGCACTATGTGGTACGTCGTGACTACGCGAACGTGAAATGTTATCAGGCAGCAGAGTCGGCAATATTAGTATCCACCGTCCCACGTGTACATGTCAGCGTGAAAGGTGGCGGTTCAGTGGCTGTGTAGCTCATTGACATGAAATTCGCACTCAAAAAAATCGAACAACACTTGCGACAGACATTTTGTGCGAGTGTCCACTCACTCCCGGCAATTGCGAGCCCGCAAAGTGAAGCTATTAGTGAGTGTGCGCAAGGTTGAATGCCGAGCTATTTAAGCGTACTTTTTTGTGAATGAGTCTGTGTGTCCATAAATAACGCGGCTAGGTGTACCTTTCACGCTCTAAGTACGATCTACCTTGTCCCCCCTCATAGGTCGATGAGCATGATAGGTGTCACTCTTTGCTGATCAAAGGTGAATATGATCACATAAGCAAGTGCTACACACTAGTAAAGGCTGATCACGTTGCTTGTGTGCGCGTTGCTTGAGTATACTGTGCTGGGGTCATAGAGACATTACCGCCTCGTTTCCTTCTTCAGGGACTGCTGCTGTTGTATAGTGTTTTGCGACTTGATTCAGTTCCTCCGAACTGGAATACATGTATCAAAGGGCGAGCTCCAGAGCGTGCTCCCCTATCTTTTACGGACAGACACGTAGACAGACAGATAAGTGTGATTAAAAAGTTCGGCATTCCTCTTGCACACAGTCACCGATAGCCTCATCCTTCGGGCTCGCAACTACGATATTTACAATCTGACAAACATTCATACGGCTTACCATTTTTATGCACGATTAGTAGCGGAAATAAAAACATGCGCGACAACCCGCTCACCTGTCTGCTGTCAATAAGTTGTTGCATCGCTTGGATTGTCAGCCTTAACAATGGGAGAATGGCAATAGCTGAGGAACATCGCGTACCACAGGTCCACAAAAAGTGAGTCTTATCGAGATCGTATTCACCAGTTACACTACATTCAATCATTTGCCGCATGAAAGCCTTAACATAAGACACGTCGAAAATGGTGATCGCAACATGTCGCTCATACATAAAAATGAGTGCACTCTCAAAATTCGTCTTTCCCGAATTGTCGTTGGCTTACAATCACTAAGAGCTTGTCTTGCAGTTTTATAAAAGGGCTACAGGAACATAAAGCTTCGAGTATACTCAATCGTTAGTCTGCGACGATAGTGGTCCAGCGTTAAATAACCGCGTGAAATGCATTTACGAGAAGAAGTATACACGACAGACGAATCACCTACAGCCAAGTCAGGAAGGAGGGAGGTAATAGCTTATTGGAATTGATTAGTGAGGACGCGGACCCTGTCCATGAACGTCGTGCCAAGAAGATTCACAAACTACGCAGCTTTCCGCGGTTCGTAGCGTAGCTCACGATCCAGTGCGCACAGCTGCAGATTTGAGTAGATGAAAACAGCACTGGAGATCACACACGACTAAACTCCAACAGTGCATAGGGTGCAGTTCGTCGTGAAACGCCATCTGCCGCACAAACCGACGGCGCGCTGCCTCTCTCTCTACCGGGTTTGCTTAAAGAGATAGCCTACTCGATGCTGTTGTGTGACATTCGTCAACTTGCCGTCTTTGGCTCAAGTATGCGCCACTTGGGCGTCCTACTGCTGTATGAACTCGCAGTGCTTGTCGCTATGTTGACACGAGCTGACGTTGTCACGAAAACCTCCGAAAAGACGATAGGCGACACTGCATCGTCGGCTGCGACCCATTCCGACGTTGCTATCGGGAGGTTCCGACGACTGGATGAGACGGAAGAAAGAGCTCTTTCCATTCCTTCCAGTTTATTGCCGCAATCCATCCCGCCAACCGGCATGGAGCTGATCGGATCCTGGTTCAAGTCGTTGAGGCCGATGATTAAGAGCAACTATGCTTCTTTTGCCGACTACAAGCGTGGAACGTCGAGTGTCGGGCACTACCTCAGGGCGTTGTGGCCGCAAATCTTGGATAGCGTTCGGACTCGATATTGGCTTTACCGACGTAAAACCATAGAAGACGTTTTCACGCTGCTGAAGCTCGATGCTGGACTGGACAAAGTTGCGTACAGTCGGGAGTTTTACACTTGGGTTGCGTTCGGCGATCTCTTACGCACGCACCATCTGGCCGATAAGTGGTCAATTGCTCGGGTGCTATCGAAGACGTACACGGATTTGGAATTGGTGAGGGTAGTGGACGCGGCCAAAACTAATAAGGACCGTGGAATGGCGTCAAGAATAGAGCGGATGCTGATTCATTATTGGCATCGTGAGAAAAAACGGACTGACGACGACATTTTCACATCGCTTAGGCTTCACATCAAGAAAGAAATGGAAGTCCTAGAGACATTTTCAACCTCCCCGAGCTGTACACATGGTACAGGTACGTCGTTGTGAATAATGAGGCGAAGGTGCCTACAGACCATGCAGTCGTCTCGGTGTTATCGGCACACTACGACAAGGAAAAGTTGGGCGTGATGTTTGATGCGATCAAGATGCAAGACCCGAAACGAAACACGGAACGCGTGAGAATAGAAACTGCGGTTGGCAAGTATCTGCTCGCACTCGGACAGTACTGAGTTGTTATCTAGCTGTACCTCTCCGCTTTGTTCATTGCGTGGAAAGGAGGTAGGGTACGAAAACGCAGTAATCAAGATGTCCAGCCGAAGTCTGCCGTCACGACGCGATGCAAAGACGCGTGACTACGAAGAATGTGTGTCGTGTCGGACCTGAGCAATGTAAAGATCAGATGCGACGACATCAACAACATTCCTGCATGCCATTGTGGACGTGGAAGCTGCGTAAGCGGAGCTTTCAAGGTTCATCCGCATCTTGACGCTTTCAGTTCAAGGAGAGTAATCGACTAGAGTAAACTGCTTGGTAATAACGTTTTCATGAGTACACAATGATTGCCATGATTACCCGCGGAAGCATGAGTATGTTCAGGTAGCTCGTGTCATTTGTTGACTTCTAGGTAGTACGACATAACGTGTGCCAGATGGCGTTAATTTGCTGTGCAGCGTTTTCGTTGCCGCTTCAGTGTGAACAACTTCATCACAAAGAAACAGCCGCGATATACCATGTCCCGCCGCGTGATGCTTGTTAAAGCATACGGTCACGGGGCTGTAGGACTATAGGGCGCAAGCGACCTAACATAGAATGCGACGGTAAAGTGATTTGCCACATCACGAGTCCAGTGGCATCATTTAAGAGACGGGAGGCGTCTGCAAATGTAGTGATCAATGCGTTTAAAGGTACAACAAGTAGGACCAAGTCGTCGTCAAAAAGCGCAGAGGATGATTTGGATGAAATGAACGCAGAGTCTACAATACGAAGTTAGTTGCACGACCAAAATCAAGAAGCAGCTACGTCGCACTTTACGAGATGTGAGTGGACACGATCATGTGCGAACGGTGAAGTGAGGCTGTAGTCAGTTGGCGTAAACCAACTTTATACTTGACGTTGTTGTGGTTCGTAGAGGACTCTGCAATGAAGCATCCAATCCGCGCTTGTCATACCACTGCATGATCTTATTGAGGGAGACGATGAGGACGTGGCTCGTACTAAGAGGTGCGTAAAGAATGATGTTTGCTCGATTTGTAGGTCATGCAACAATACCTCGAGCGATGCAATAAAGTTGTATCATCCGGATGCAGGTAGAGCAAGATGTCGCGTCGGCCGGGCTCGGAAAGTACAATCATGTTGACGAGTACATGTTGCAATCACAGTGGACTCTTTTAGATGCACACGTGATGAGGAAACGGTCCGGAGTTATCATGTGCTCAAGCGTGATTGTAAGCTACACCTCCTACGTGAAGTTTGACATGGGCAGAACGTCATTGCTGCAGAAGAGTTGCCGAGAAGACACTTTGTCGCTCGAATGTCAGGTGAAAGCACGGACGTCGAAGTCGGACGACGCACTACTATGGTTGGACACGAAGCGCTTTGGAAGGCAGATGTTTCGACGACAATCGGGAGCGTTCACCGACGAATCGACCGCATGTTCGACTGCTGCAATGGTTAAAGATCCTTGGTTCACTAGCATCTTTGACAAAGACTCTTCATTCTTGTAGAGAGGCAGCTGTCGATGTGTGCTCAGCCTGATTCAATGGCCATTTGCATCCCGGTGTTAAGCAGATCGGTTGCTACCATTTCCTGGTTACGAAACCGTGAAGACACGACGCCACGTGCGTACTAAATAAAGTCGGAAGCTGGGGTTCCGCTGCTAGGATTGTTCGTATGGGATTAGGCATTAAGAGTCAGGATAGTTTTTTTAAATTCAAACTACGTAAATCTGAGAGCGACCTTAGCTACGAGGGGTTGTGGTTATTTAGGGCCCTTGCGTGCACATCGTTATTGCGAAATGGCATAAGCTGTGAAGATCACAGTGAGCATCATTATGGGAAGTTGTGCCAAGACTGATGAACGTCCAAAGCTTGTGTGACCGTGCATAAATTGTCTATCGATCCAGGGGACGCGTTAAACATCTTTAACTGATAGACTAGTGTGTCCAACTCTATTTACAACTGCACAAAATCATATAATCAATTATTTTTGAGTTGTAATTTGTTGTCGATTTGACAGATGGCAGATGAGAGTAGCACATAGCACCGTATCCTGCGCCAAGTGAAGCTCCAAGTACGCAATCAATAATCGACGGCAACCACGATCCTGCTCGAGTCTCCATTTATTTCTATAGTAACAGAACTTGACAAGCCTAATATTGGACGTGTCGCCGCCGCCAGTAATACATTTCTGTGAGTGCATGTGAGGTGGTGCAGTTCCCGATAACGAAATGAACGTCGCTAGTCTGCATGTAGGGACGCCAGATGGAATTACCCCTACAAGGAGCGAGACGATCACAAAAGCCACGGTCATGGAATACTTAAGTGATTGCGGATAGCATACAATCACGCCATTGATACGATAGCCCGTCCTCACGAGACGACTTAGGAGCTGAACGACAGTAATGCGATCGCTGCTATCAACGTTATTGCGAAAGTGCCTTCTGTTCGTGAGCGTGCTGTACCTTTAGCTCTCCTCAAAATTTTCGGATCACCCAGTGCGAAACCTTCGCCACAAATTTTACTCCTAGACGCAAGTAGAGCTCTGTTATCTCGAGCGCATTGTGGCACATCCACAACTGCTTTCCGACTGTTAGTCGGAAAGTTGTTCGAAAATGATGGCGTCATGTCACCAAGCACCACGTCAGCCTTGAGTTTTTTAGTGCTTCGCTCAGCTTTCCTGTGTTGTATGCGCAAAATCTTCCACGAAAATAGCTATGCCTGCCGCGAGATCAAACTATTTTAAGATATACAACCACAACTGTCGGTAGTTACTTTCGAGTCTCCGCTCTCTGTTGCTATTATATTTGTTACTCTTCAATGTCGTTCAGCTTTGTGGCATGTTTCTGAAGGTGGGAAAGCCTTTGATTTGATGCAGCAGACTTTCAACTATCATCGATCGACTGCATGTCAAAGCCACGTAGAAGGGCCAGAAGGCCTGGGCGCAGTAGACTTTCATGACCTGGGGACGCTCGCTGCATGCGCGTCCTCTAAACATTTTCATTGGCCGCCGTCTCCGATACCCACCATGGAAATTCTTGGATCATCGGGTGGACGGGAAACACTGAAGTGCGATGATGCGTGCGCTACCAGTATTGTGACCCTGCTCGGGCGAGCTATGTAAATCGGATTGCATAGGCAAATGGATGCCAGCGGCACCTTAGAGGGGGCAAATAGTAGAAGCCCCAGACGCAAGGGGCCCCGGCCTGACCCGACAATAAATATAGCCTGTATCCGTGTCCACTGAAATACGTACCGGAATAGGTTTACGATTCCAAACGATAAGACGTAACATTTGCCAATGCTGGACAGTGGAGGTGACGCGGACTGTCCGCATTCGTTCTAGAGCACGCGGTCCTTTGAAATGCTTGCATGGTACGACGTTACGCACCGCTGTCGATTCGCCATATGTCAATCGACAGCAGTCCACGACTAAAAAACTGATTATACGTATTCGTGTAGCTGGAGATAGAGTTGGACACAGGTAGTCTATCAGTTGGAGATGCTAAACGCGTCCCATAGATCCAGCCATGTCTTGCACTACAATAGTATTAAGCAATACTATTGATCGGTGTGTCATCCCATCGTGGGTACGGCATCAGTTGCATTTCGTGTGCAATCGGTTCATCGATGAGTAACACGCTTATACATTATGGCGCGATTCAAGTTGAGTGCCGTTGCAAACATAATTTCTAGCTGAATCAAATAGTGTGAGAACGACATCCTTCATCATTAATGTGCTTCGTATCAAACGACGACCTATTGGTGCTTCGAAGCATCGTACGTCGCACTCCAGCGCAATAAAAGGCACAGCATGTACTGTTCTGTCAGAGCAGATGCGTGCGCCGCAGCAAATACCATTCTTTCTCATCCCCCTTACAACAGGGATTGCGGCTGTGCATCCAAAACCCCACGGCAAAGTCAGAATGACACAATGCTGGAGCACGGTAATGGAATGGGTAAACTGTTGGTCTTAGGTACTCATGACTGAGTGCTCCGCAAAGCTTACGCAAGAATATGACGAATTGAAACCGACTGCGTTCGCCACAAGTACATCTCCTCACAGGCAGGTCCGGTACGGAGCAGCTGGTGAGCTGCAATGAAGTCATGCAAAAAACTGCTGCAACGACATTCGCACTTTCCAACATGTTCACTTCACTGCTTGGTACGTTGCGCGTCGTCCTATCTATCTGATTCTCTGTTGTCAACTTGAAGAAGAAAAGAAGAGAACGCAGTTGGGCACAAAGTCGAGTAAATTGCATCATCAGGACTAGGTCGATGCAAACTTTGCAAAACCAGAACTAGACAAAAAACCAGGACCAAAAAGAAATCGAAATAGTGTACCACTGTACATGTAACTGCCATGCAATAGGAAACTGCGTGATTGGTAACGCACCTATCCTTTAAGCAAACTGTCAGACTGATCTGGTTCGATACCCTTTCATTTTTAACTACGGTTAGGTCCCTCTGTAACATCCCCCGATATGACACCCTCTCTCTATGAGATTCAAATTGGGGGTAAACAAACATGGATGTTATTGAAGAAGCTGACTGTTGTGCTCACGAGCACCTACTTACGGAGACGGAGCACTACCTCAACCGGGACATGTCTACTTACTAAACGAAATCCTCTGTTGTGAAGGCAAGGAGTCGGCTAATGTTTATCTTGTATGTGTGTCAGGAAGGACAATAAACGTGCGACTCAACAGCAATTCACACTCTTGCGATGGGGACGGAAATACTAGTGACATACCCCTCGCCCACGCTAATTTCCAACGTTTGTGATTCGCTCCTCTTGCTACCCTGCTCTCTGCGTTTAAGACTTTGGATATTTTAGGGACGTGTGAACCCCGACATGATTCAGTGCTGGTCGTTTTTGCTCAGAAGCACCAGAATGGCACCAGGCCAAGTTCGCGTTTGCCAAGTGGTGAACTTGTGCGGAAAATACTTGTCCTCTCAGGCTCATAACAAAGAAGAAGGCAAGTATATCTACGGGATAAGGCTAAGTATTACGTGGTGATGGCTCAGTAGCAAACTTAAGTTAAAATGGAGCTGTTTACTGAGTTTACACCTAGTCCTGAATTCAAATTGCTTAGGCCTGCGACGACGTCAGCCATCCCGTCAACAGTACGCATGAGCTTTCACGTGTCAACAAGATCGAAGGTCGCAACATTTTGAAGTGATTTCTGATACGCCTTGAGGTATGAAGCTTGCGGAGTGAGTTTGCTTGCTTTTGTCATGGTTGATATCTCAGGTATAAATCATGACATAGGCCTGTTACCGATCACGCAGTTTCTTATCGCATGTTGCAGTTAGATTGACAGTGTTGTTCCGTTTCTATTTCTGATTGGTCCTAGTTTTGTGGCTAGTTCTGGTTTTGCAAAGCTTGTATCAATCTAGTCGTGATGATGCAATTCACTCCACAACGTCGTCGTTGCGCCAGGTAAGTGATAATTTGACAATATAAAAGCATTGATCCATTGCTCTCTCAAAACTAATATTGTGGGTACGGTCTGTCTATTCCTATACCAATCTCAATGTCTGCCGAAGAACGACGTGAACTAATCCGATTCTCCTTAATACATTCATTTTGATGCGCAAATGACACACTAAGTCATCCTAATGTCCAGATCACAAATGAAGCACGATGTGAAGGATGGAGAATCAAGCTCCGAAGCTCGCCCATTAATGAATTAGGTTTATCGTAATCTTTCAATTTAGTGCACCAAAACATGAGCAAAATGACGAAAATGGATCACAAAATCAGGTGTATAATTTGCACATCTCCAAACAGCCACTTTTGCCGACTATCTGATGCAATTTTTAATGGTTTTTTCTGTGATTGTTTTAATCCAAACTCAGCTTAAATTTAGATATTTTAAAAATTGACACCGATCAGTTATGTGTGCTGAAATCACTTAGTTTTACTATCGGTCGGGTTGTCTGAAAGCTTTCAAAAACATCCCCGTCCCTTCGAGGTGCAATTCATGTTAGTATGAATTTATAAAGCTGAGATATATTGTTCGAGGTATCTGTTTCAGCACTCAAGTCTGCATGCGTGTCTCTGCCAAGAAGTCGCGTCATTTGTTGGAAAAACTACACCGTTATGCTCGACATTTTTACTACTCATGACACTCTGTTTTAAAAAGAAACTGAATGCTCATCCACTTCACAATGAAGCGTTACTATGATCTGGCGGGTGAGAACAAGAAGCTCGAGCTACAGTTATCACTAGATAGGCGCGACGAATACTGTGTTTCGCTATACAGGAAGCGAAGCATTATTTATTCTGTTAGCAACGCTAGAGCTGCCGTACAAGACGCCGCAGACCAAGCGCATCGTCATCATCTGTGATAGACTGATTCCATTGGCTGATGAGGAAAGTGAATTAGTCCGACCATGACTTCCAGTTACTGATGATGGCAAAGAAACAGTCGTGATCTGGAATGGCAAAGGAGCTGTACCGCCGGAGAGTCAGGACTACTTGAATTAAGGCAGTGGTCCGACGACGTGTGACGAAGAATTCATGATGAAAAAGTGCTTGAATGAGAGCAACGAGGCTGCCGACTGGTCCAGTTCTCGGAGCTCTGTGTGCTTTCTTAAGCTAACACGGCATTTTATTACAGTTAGGAATAAAGAGAGACAAGATTCGTGATCTTAAAAAAGCAGAGGTAGGGATGAGGGAGTCATTCTTGAAAACAAAGCACGGCCGTTAGAGTCTTACGGACGATACGATGACTAGAGATATTTGTTTAGCTTTTGGACTTCCAAAACTCCAATTATCAATTACGGAGAGGAGTTCCAGGAATGCGTGTTGATGCAACGAGGACGTCGACGACCTACCGCTCTAAAATTATGTTAGTGGGGGGTGAAGATTAAAATAAAGACAGTGTTGATACAAATTTTTAGAGTGCAACAGCTACTGGCGTGTCATTACACTTGTATGTGAGTGTAAAACGGTTGAGTCGAGACGGAGTTGACGCCGAAGAATAAGCGGGATTACTGAAATAATCAGGGGACGGCGAGGTGATAGGTTTTTATTCTGTCCAATCACCGTTGAGGTATGCTTGAGTATTTTTTTTGATTGGCAGTATGATTAAAGCGCACAAAACTGATCAGAGCGCAATCCATTATGAGTCTACGTAGGTCTCGCAAAAGTTTCATGAAGAAGGCTTGGAGTATTCTGCCTTTTTGCCACACAAAACACAGTTTTCTAAATACATCCATAAGGCTCTCGGGCGGGGTGGATGAGGTAAAAGCCATATATATTGAGAAATTAAAAGTCAAACTCATGATGTCGGTGCGTCGTGAATCTCGTCATGCCTCATATTGATACTACCGGCTGTCTACCACTTGGCAAGAGCTCGTTAAGTCATTATTTAAAAATGCATTTATGCAAATTTTTATGAAAAGAAGAACCGTCTCGATGTAACTTGACAATCTGCATTCAGTTTGCGCTCGATCGTTGAAGATTTATATTCTGAAAAGTAGCGTCATCACTATTTCACGAAACACGTTGTCGACTTTACTCACGACTTCTTGAGCCCATGTAAGCGTTTTAAATAAATTATTGCAGGACTGGAGGGTGACGCTACCATTGACTGTGCGCATAGTGAACACCGAGATTGCAAAAACTACTTTGTGTGTTTGTCAGTAAGTTTAGTCTAAATTAGGCCTTGATAAGGCAAGTTAAGCAACTCTATGTAATCGGGATCACGGTAAAAAAAATATCGGTGAAGGGTAGTCAACGGGTAAGGTAGCGGGTATACTAACTGTAAAGCCGATTTCCTAACTCGACGAACCAGTACTTACATGCTAAAGAATGTATAAGGATGAAATGAGGACTTCTGTCTAGCATTTCACAAGTTGTGAGTAGCCCAAACTCACGGAGTCCAAAAAGAATTTTTCCAGGGAATTCAGCTGAGCTCTAAACCTTCATAAACAGAGAGAAATTTATCAAACTTCAAGCATTTGTATTTGCGCGAAACTGCATTCCAAAGCCTATATATTCATCGAGGTCATCAACAGTAACTACAACATGCCGACGTCCGGACCCGCGGCGCCGACTACAAAGATGCCGACCTCCGGGAATTGTTGCTTTTCGAAAGCAGAGTCGAAGACGGTATGTACGGTGTTTAGGCAGTGTCCCGTCCAAACTTGATCGCAAGCAACAAAGCCACAACCTCACTTGAAAATATGTGCTGGATTGGGCTTGCGACAACAGCGCCATGTAAGATGGCAAGTATAACCGAGTCACACGTAGTTGGGTACCTTGTGCCCTGTGAATTAGACACATGGATGGTATCCCACTGAAAGAGATATCGAATATCTTATCGGTTTGTAGGGGCTGACTGGTGCAAGCCACTTGATAGGTGATGTCTTAGTTTTACTTACTCAGGCAAAGATATTCTATAGGTGTAAATGTAAATAAATTGCAGTTCCTCCTGTGATCTTCGAGACACGTGCCTTGCGAGGCGTCTTTGGTCGTTGATCGCTGATCACTAAGAGTAAGCAACACCTCCCTGAGGTAGCTAGTTACTCTTGAGCACTACGTGCTGTCGATATATTGAATCGTTTGGTCCCCTGGAACAAGGACCATAAGCTTTGTGCTTGTTAACTCATTGAGCCTAGTTCGTTAAATCTAAGTTGCTCGTTGAGCGTTAGGTCTTTCTCTGACCTTAGGGGCTGTATAGCTCCGCTACAACAAGCGTCAGTGTAAACTCTTTCGCAAGTGTTACTCGGTATCTACCATTGCCTTTGGGTAAAAGCGCACCTAAATGCCGCGTATGGCATCACTTGCAGCGACACCGCGTCTTCTATACCTTCTTGCAGCGGCCCTGGTATGGATCAGTCTAAGCTCACACATTGCTGTTCCTTGCTGTAGGTGGCTATTTGGAGGATCACGAGAACACCGTTGTTAATATTTTTCGTCCAAGGTGGCATCAAATAGCGCGCGGCTGTCGGTGATCGTGTCTAGAAGCTCGTCCTGTCGCCGATGAACGGTACGAGCTGTCGTTTACGCGAACGATCTTGAGGCGCATTACCGAGCTGCACCGCATTCTGGAGCTAGACATTACGGAAGGTCTTATTAATCTACCGGTCGCCACATCACTGAAGCTGGACGACTGAACAAACCTCAATTTGATGGGCTTGTATGATGTCACCTGATAATGGGTGGACGTCGCCATGCTCACGACGAAAAGTATGCTGCTGACAATCATCCACTTTAAGTGCGAGACTAGTGTTGCCCAGCGCTTTATGCTGGCTCTGTTCGTATACCTAAAGCCTCTGGGTGGGGATGTCGTGACGCAGCTATTCAACATCTTCAGCAAAAATGGATTTTAAGCTACAGATGATTTCATTCGGTTGGTTTTGCTTATAGAAGCCTTCATCAGATACGACACGATGAGCCTGCCACACCACATCCATTGCGTCGATCATTCCGTCCAAATTGCTGTTCATGAATGTTAAAGTTTATCATGGTGTCAATCAGGGCGCTGCGAAAGTGCGAGTCAAAATTCACCGCAGCAGGTTCATGCGGCAGCAATTTTGCGTCAAGTTTGGGGCAGAAGAAATTTATAACCGCAAAAAGATGCACCAAGGATTATCGTCTTGCCATCATTATGGAGTAGGACGAACTTGGCCGCGGAATTCTCGCTGATGCTGGGCGGCAGGTCACCAATGACGTGTTGATATCCCTACGGGCTGCGGGGAGCTCCTTGCGGCCTATTTCAAGCCGACTTAGCTCTCTCTGCTAGTCAAGCAATGCTAAAAAACAAGTGAGAGTTTGTTGAGATCCAGGGAGCCATACGACGGTCGACAAGGATACGCAAACTCAGTGAAAGAGAAATCTGGTACAAGAACCGGCGATTATCACAGCGTTTTGGTATTCCTAAGTACCAAAGCCGACAGACTCGGTGGAGCACAAACGCGCAGTGGACTTTTTTTGCAGCACGCTGCAACGCCGCTATTCCCCAAGATCAAATTGATCCCGATACTTAATGCAGAAGTGAGCAGTAGCTCGCTATTCACATTGATGTTACATCCTGCTAGTGATGTCGATTTTCCATGCGACGAGATCCAAAATATTTGTCAATCGTCACCATGAATCCTTCTGGGCTTGTCGACATGCTTTCGTGGTGTTCGTTCCGCAAAGAATCGCTAAACGCTCTTTGCCAGATGGCAATGGAATACTGCAGACAATGTTGACATTGAAAACATTATATAGCGTTTACAGCGCCTCCTGTGGCGAAGTTAAGCTCACTAGATGGTCGCTGTCGTCATCTGTATTTATCATGACCATATACCTGCGCTCATGGGTGGGTGCCAGTATCGTTTAAGTGTTGTAAATCAATTACAAGCAGTATCCACACTGTATTACGCTGCCAATGAAGTACAGAGGCTACAGATGGAAGAAAAAATGGGACGAGGAGTTTTTTACGCTGGGTTAGCTCAGTTGCTGCACAAATGTTTTTAAACACAGTATTTGAAGCCGAGTGTGAGCTCCGGTAAAACGCTGCAAGTGTAAATTGCATTCTCTACCCTTTAAAGTGCACACTTGGTTAACGACACACGACTTTTCACCCGAAAACTATGTTATGATAGTCATAAGAGATCTTAATATGATTAGTACAGCTGAAACTCCACAGAATCCATCAATCGTTTAGACGCTTACTTATTGGGTAACTACCCAGGTAAAGGGGTGTAGCGAGGTCAACGTAAAGGTATCTACAGATCATCCGGGTAAGGAAGTGTAAGATAAAGGTAGAACAAGCTATCACCTAGTAACATTTTAGCTACTTTGTCGAGTCCTTCTTCAAATAACGCTAGATGTACCTTACACTTTGCACTAAGTGCGATGTAGCTTGTCTCCCTTCTGTAGTGTCACTCTTCGTACGTCACTGACTGAGATCGCTTGAAACCAATAACACGCAAACGCACCCAGGCTCACAAAGTGAGGGCATAAAAATGAATACAAAAAAGACAAACGGAGAAAAATTGAATGCTCGACACTTGGTGGCATTGAAAATCTCGCACCTTACGCAACAGTAAACATGAAACAACCATTTTTTTCGATCTTGATAAGCTGAATTTAAAAAGGTTATGATTCAATTTTTTCTTTAGGCGGCAGAGGAGATATTACATCTATAATTTATGTTTCATTAAATGATTAAAATGCAGCATGACACAGTTTGTGGTTGGCATCGTTACCTAGCAGGATCACTTTGCGTCAACCCTTTCTTTGTCGTCTTCATGAGACGCGAACAATCATCCAAGAGTAGATTTAGCGCACATCCGTTCATCAGCATTTTCGGTTTCTTATTAAAAATGCAAAGCTTACCTATCACAGTAAGCATATATTTGAACGGAATTCAAAGTTCAACTGAATTACTAACATCAAAGGGAGATCTCCAGAACTTTCTCTCCTAATTTATGTAGGTGTTTCAATAGAGCTTTGATTATACCTAAGAGCAGTGTTTAAAAACCTTAGTTCTATTCAGACAACCCATCAATCGTGTGTTTTTCTTTGCCGAATATGCCACAAAGACATTCCTTGAATTAATTTTTCTTTATACTAATCGATAAACAGCGCATACGAGCACACATTTATAGCTAATACGCGTGCTCTCTGTTGCTCAAAATTAAGCTTTGCCCGTGAATAGCTGGAATTTTAGGCTTTCGGCGTCGAACTCGATGTGATTTTCGTAACGCATGATCATCCTTTAGGCTATCCAGATGAAAATTAGGGTACCCTCCCGCTCGCAGTTTTAGTCGACTTGCGTACCACTACTGGGACCCAGCTTTAAGATCTAGAAACAGACGGAGTTGTCTGAGGATGTAATGGGGTGTTACCGCTGCACAATTCGTTGAGCGCGTGCTGGCAAACAGCTCCACTAAGTAGCTCTAATTGGTTATACATGTTTCAAAGCAGGTGTACACTGTACCCGAGATAGTGGATGTAGTGCGTTGATTCCCTATAGATCCGACAAATGGGTACGCAACTGTCATTACCCAATAAGATACTGTCTTTATCCGAGTGGCTCTCGTAGCCCGAAGAGCACCCTTACTTATAGTAATCAAGATAAAAATCATCCCAATTCATCTTACGCTTTCTCGTAGGACCGTTAGTGCAATAAAAAGTACCGAGCTTAAGCCCCATTACAGTGTTCTGGCTGGATGCAGATTGGAGTGCGTCCATGCACGCCATGCCCGAAGTTCTGTCATGCGTACTTTTAATTACACGCCTATGTCTATTATCCTCAGCCGTTGCTACGACTGCCACCTTTTTATAAAGTATGCATGATATGAACTTTGTGGGTATTCGTGCAGTCCGACAAAAATTATTATTGTACTTATTACTCTAATTTTAGCAATACACACACCAACGCCAGAGGTCTGGACCCACGATCTCGACAAGGATGATGTGCAACCAAATATAAATTGATTGGGGTCACTTTATTAAAACATTAAGTATCCAGTGTGTACACCTTGAGGGGCTGTACTTTTATGTGATCACGCTTATTTCATGAGGGGCTGTGAATTTTGAACAGCGCGAATAATTACGAGAACCACGCAGATTTTGGAGAATAATTTACACTGCTGGAATGCATCCATTGGTGTCCAAGTGTGAGCGGGTAAGCGAGTCACACTTCAAATTTGCTATACTTGCGATGATGATAAAGATCACTAAAATATGGGCGCGCAAAACATGACACTCGATAATGGAGATATCGCTTACAGGCTCGAAGAGAAAACTGATTGATATACCGAAGACCCGAATATAACAAATAGGTAATGCCGAAAAGCAGTACAGAACCCCTCTAACAAACTTAATTATTCAAAAAGAATCTGAGTGCGATAAAGTCGTCTATCATGTACATGTGCAAAATGCTTCCGAATTTTATCTTCTTATGCATCTGAAACTGACTCTTTGGCAAAGAAAGGCATTACATCGTGACATGCAACACCTAGCGAAAGGATGCGAGGAGCAACATTATGTAAAAGATGTATTAATAAAGAAGAAAAGCGAGAAGCCGATGACTGCATTTGGACATTTGTCAATTGGAAAATATTTGATAAACGGATAGCTAAAGCCGAATCCGGTCTTTTTATACACAGCGCCTATGTGTATTTGACATTTTCTAGTGATGCTCTGTGTGGCCGAGTCGAAATATGCATGACTAGCAATTTTTTGTATAATTAGTCACGGAAAAAAGATGTGCACGACAACCCGCTCATCTGGCTACTGTCAACAAATCGTTGTATCGCTTGTGTTGTCAGCCCTCAAATTGGGAGAATGACAAAAGCTGAGAGAACATCGCGTACCACAGGTCCACAAAAAGTGAGTTTTATCGAGACCATATCCATCGGTTATACTACATTTAATCATTGGCCACATGGAAGCCTAAACATAAGAACACGTTGAAATGGTGATCGCAACATGTTGCTCATACATAAAAGTGACTGCACTGTCAAAATTTGTCTTTCCCGAATTGTCGTTGGTGCTGCAATCACTGAGCTTGTCTAGCACTAAATCAAAAGGGCTACAGGAACTTACAGCTTCGAGTATACTCTATGTTTAGTTCGCATATATGGTATTCCAGCTGTTAGCTCTGGAGCGTGAATTGACGAATAGAAAAATTTATGATGGGTGAATCCCTGCTGTAGCAGATCTTCCCTTACTCCTTTGTCAGAGGAATGCATAAAGTCACGCAGATACGCCTTGTGTATATAACTGGACTGTTATAAACTTAAAGGGTCTTAGGTATTCACATACTTAGTGATACATATCCCTTAGTACCTAGGAAATTTTGCAACATTCCAGTTTTGGTTCAGGGAACTAATGAAACCAAGAAATTACGCGGCACAATGCTTAAGGGTGCTAGCCTTCATACAGGCTCTTGACGCTTACGACCAAAGACTTCCTACCAAGACACGTGTCTTAGATTTATTGAAGGGTAACTTAATGCATATACTAATTTATAGCAATAGTGAATCTCACTTGCGCAAGTAACCTTGAAATCATGCTACCTGAAAAAAATATTCTGATGTAGGTTCTTCTGGCATTTTCACTGCAGAAATTCGATGTACTTTGCACACCCTTTCACGATAGATTTCTTCATTCCATAACCGTTGAGGTACGGTATTACCGCTAGCGTACGTGATACGATAACATGCCTATCGGTTTCACTTATATCTTACTTGTGTATCACATCAGCGTAACTGTCTACCAAAAATCGTTTGTGTAGCTTTTCGACCTGTAGTCAAGCCAAAAGCGCGGTTTCCGGTTTATAGAAATTGATCAATGAAAACGCGGGGTCTCATCCATAAACCGAGAACCAAGGATAAATTGTACACTATGGACAAGTGTGCAGTTTTTAATTGGCGAGTCTAATTAGTACTAATGTCCCTGACCAGTTTTGTGAACGGAGCCATTTTAGTGCACGAGTTTAGTTCAAATCCAATGGAATCAAATTAAATACTTTATTCAAAGCAATTTGAGTAATTTGTAAGCTTTGAATCGGTTTAATGAATGTCATCGATGCTTGCAAAAAATATTTATCGTTAATATAGGGATTGTGAGTGAGAAGGGATTGGTCAAAGTAAAAACATAACAATAAGAAGGAATACTAAGGTGGACTGCAGCGGGCATTACCATAAGCAAGACGTCCTCAATGCTTTAGAGAGTGCGCCACGGTGAATCGCTACGCCGAAGTCGAGTAAACGTATCCTATTTTTCTATAACTTTATTCAAGAAGTTAAACGAACAGCAAAGCGAGATGCTGATTGAACTGCTACTGTAACGGGGTAGCCCATTACATGAAATTGACACCAAACGGTGTCAATTGGAATATTGTCTAGCATGACAATATTCTACCGATATTGTCCGACATGGATATAACTGAGGGAATATTATCCCCTTTTAGATATAATTATGCGCTGCTCCAAGATTGATTGATATAAGACATATCAACTATAGATTGCCACCAATCGCTGCTAGACGCGCGCAATGAGTGGTGTGCAGGTTGTCGTAATACAACGGCGTAGTTTAATATAGTTAGATAGATATTAAAGTCATTTTGATAGATTAACTATATTTAATACAGTTCTCTTTTCACCCTAACTTAAACTAGTAGTTTAGGTAGATTAGCTTCCTCTGCACGTACTAGTGTACGTGAAGTTTCGCGGTACCACAAACAAAGGGTGCCACGTTATTACCTGGTAGCACTAAGTAGTCTGTCCAACACGAACTTGTTGGACGAAGAAGAGGACAGCTTTCACGTCACACGTGAAGGCTACTCCCATCTGAGTGACTCAGGATGAGAGGAAGTCGGCCGCATGAGTGTGCTCATGGGCGCACCCGCCATCAGTAGTATGATAAAGTCTCTTAGCAGAGACCAGCAACATGTTGCTATTCACAAGTTGCTACAAGGGGAACTTACCGTCGGAAGACAGAAGATAGACTTGCTACAACAGCAAGGCTCTTATCAGTCGATGGGCGGGCCGACGCACATGCGTCGACCCGAAACCTTGAAGATTGATATCTCAAGGTACAAGGGAACCGATAAAGATTCCCTTTTGAGATGGTCCGTCGAGTTAGACAACACCATCAGGGCATGTCACATCGAGGGTGACGAGATGCAAGTCACCTTCGCTCTGTAAAATTTGACGGAACGAGCAAAGACTTGGGCCTTAGGGCTCAAGCTTCACGACCCAAACGTGTTTAAGTCGTTGTACGACCTTAAAGTCTAAGGTCAAAGAAGCGTTTGAGCCGCCAAGAGCCGAGTCCAGAGCACGCTCTGCACTATTGAGGCTTAAGCAAGGTAAGCGTGACGTGCATGCTTACGCACAGCACCTGCGCTCCTTGCAAGTTAGCTTACGGAAAAACCTGTTTATGAGTACACACTCATCAACGCGTTCATCTACGGCCTTGTGGATGGACCGGTTAAGACCTACATGTTCTGAGAGGACTTCAATACACTGTATAGGGGATAGCGTATGCGTGACAAGAAGCCTTCAGCCCGAGACAGTCTCAGGCTAACTCGTCAAATTATCGTCCGACGAGACGACAGGAAAAAGGAGGTCCCGAACCAATGGACCTATGTTATAACATGAGCGAGAACTCTCGCTTTCTGGGTCACCAGCGAACGGCAAGATGCCATCGCTGTCCGAAGATTGGACACTAAGCTCATGAGTGTAGTGCCCCGAGCACTGCAACACGTCCAAAGAAAGGACTTAATGATTATTGTTGGCCAAGGAAGGGTTTGAGGCGTGGGTCCGACCATGTCTCTAAGCCGCGACAGCAAGTCGGACCATCAAAAAACGGTCAGGGTCAGTAGGGGCGGAGCACCCTGCTGATACAGCAACGTCAAGAGAATTTGCAGGACACTTGACGAAGACTGCTCCCAACACACAGTCGCTGTGTGTTACTGCCTTTAGTGATGAGGGGTCTTTCATCACTTTGAAGATCGAAGTGACAAGTGGAGTTTCACTTCGCGCCCTAGTTGACTGTGGGGCGTCTAACAGTTTTAGTCGACGCCAGTCGCTAGGGGATAGTAGACTCAACTATGTTAAGCGAGAGTTCCCTCTAACGAGGATGACGATGTGCCTTGCTATAGGCGCATTCGTTACAGTGAATGAACGTGTCGTGGAGGTCCACTACACGCTAGAAGGAAATTTGTACGATGATGACTTTATCATACTAGATTTGAATGAAAAATGTGATGTCATCCTCGGTCTGCCATGACTTAAAAAGTACCATCAATGGATCTGCTTGCAGCATAAATTCATGAAGAAGCCCGCCGTTTGTTCATCAGATGGCCATCTGATGAACGTCTTGAAGCGTCCACAAGCGTGTGGATGTACTACGAGTGAGTGCGATGGCCTCACTTGTGGTACATTAGTTAGTACGACTGCACAAGATCACAGTGTAGAAGGCTACTACACTGCGGAACCGGCTTCCGGCACCTGTGTAGAGATACAGGCTGCGCCAAGGGTTCACCACTCGAAGAGATCAAGTGGACTGGAACACGGATGCACACCAAGAAGGATGCATCCAAAAAGAGATATCCGTGTAGTTCAGGATGAACCACACGCTGAAGCGAGATCGACTATCAGAGAGCCCATCGAAGAGGACGTGACTGTGGTAGTGCACCCTAAGTCAGAACACGTATTGTAAGAAGGTTCAAGCTTTCCTGAGAGTGATAACTTCCGAGATAGTTATGTTGAGGGTGTGGATACCCAATTACCTGCGGATGAGTCTCCCAGGAAATCACCGAGTCATTGAATGTCTTAGTGAATGACGAATCAAGTGTAGGCGCTTATACACTTATTCTGGTTACATCTACGAAGTCAGCTTCGGAGGTGGTCAAGTTGCCAACGATATAATTTAAAAGATTCTTGCGAAACCTGCGTAGTGAAGATGAAGCAGATCTGCGTACTCATCACAGAGGACGAGTACGTCGCCGATATTCGGTCGGCGCAAGCGTTTACTGAGAACGAACGGGTTCTCAGTAGCTCGTCTACGGACGAGAGTGTCCTCGATGGGAAGACTTGGATTGAGCGATACACGTCTCAATCTTGAGATTCTTTGAATACAAATCCTTTGATTAAGGATTTGGCTAAATTCAGGGATGTTTTCTCTGAATTCGCGCCATGCGAGCTGTCCAAGAACAAAGGCACTCGGCATGAGATCGAATTGAAACCCGATTCGAAGTACTGAGTCATGAAGCAGTGGCCACTGCCTCGTGAACAGGTAACAGCGATCGACAAGTTCTTTGCCGATCGTTTAGCGGCTGGTAATGTGAGGGAATCGACATCCCCACACAGCTCTTCGACCTTCTGTGTGCGAAAGGCTACAGGAGGGTGGTGGATAGTGCACGCGTTCAACAAACTGAACGCTGCAACGGTACCGGCTCAAACGCCGATCCCAAGAAAGGATGTCATCATAGATGGTATGGCAAAAAGTACCGTCTTTTTGTCCACGGATTTGATGGATGGATTCTATCAGATCCTCGTGCGTGAACGGGACATCCCGTACACAGCAGGGAGCACCATTGGTATGCTCTGGAAGTGGCTCGTGATGCCACAGGGGCTAAGTAATGCCTGCGCAACGTTTAACAGATGTGTTACGAATCTGTTGCGATCGGTGCGCGACTTCGCACCGAGTTACTTCGACGATGTCTTCAGCCATAGCCGTTCTATGGATATAACGACGGACGTGGAGGTTCATATAATCCACGTCCGAAAGGTTCTTACTCTAATGCGAGAGCATAAGTTGTTCGCGAACCTCAAGGAGTGTATTTTCGCAGCGAACGAAATACCACGTCTTGGCTGCATCGTGGGTAAAAACGGTGTACGCCCTGATCCGGAATAGATCAAGGCGATTAGCGACTGGTCTGTGCCAGTAGACGTCAAGAGACTTCGAAAGTTTCTTGTCTTGGCAGTGTACTTGCACAAATACTCGCGCAACTATGCCGAGATGACCGTACATCTCGCTCGTCTACTTAAGAAACACGAGAGGTGGTCATGGAGCGCTAAGTTTCAGCACTGCTTCGAATGTATCGAGAAAAGCTTGTTTAATCGACTGTGTTGATATTGCAGATCAGGATAGACCATCTCATGTGGTTTGTGACGCCAGCGATTTTGCAATTTGCTGAGCATTAGTGCAGTACGACACAGACGGCGTTGAGCGCGTCGTCTGTTATCAATCGCGTCAGCTGCAAGCAGCTGAGCAAAACTATCCAGTGCATGACAAGGAAATCCTTACCATGAAATATGCACTGGATAAGTTTCAGGTATGTCTCTTAGAAGATAGGCCCTTCGTCGTTATACCGACCATGCGTCGTTACGCACGGCCGTAAACAGTCCACACTTCTCGCAACGAATGGCGAGGTGGATGTCTTTCTTCGTGGAGTACAACTTCTCCGTCGAGTATGAACCAGGACTACTGAATGTCGTCCGTGATGCTCTTTCGCATCGGCCCAATTTAGCCGACTGCTCCACCCAACAGTAGGGGTGATCCCAATGTCGCGACACTAACGGTGAGTGTAACGTCATCGAATCTGCTCGAAGACGTGCGAAACACATACACAGACACAGAAGATCTCTTCTGAGGTTGAAAGATTGTGTCCCCAATCCATTCAGTCAAGCTTTGAAAAGCTTGACGTCTCAATACCGCTCTATCGAACGGTATTCTGTTCGTGATGGACTGCTGTACTATACAGCAGTCAACGGCGACACACCTCGTGTCGTCGTTCCGGCTCAAAATGATTTGAGATTGCGCATCACGTATGAGTGCCACGATGTCGCAAAGAGTGGGCATCGAGGTAGAGAAAAGACTTACCTCACAGTAAGTCGTGACTTCTACTGGCCTCGGCGGTATGAGTTTGTGCGGAAATACATCCGCGCTTGCGAAGTTTTAAAAAAGGTGAAGCCTAGTACTGTATCCCGTGCACCCTTGCAGACTCTTCCGATTCCGGCAGAGTGCTGGCAGTCCGTATCGATGGACTTTGTCTTCGGGTTTACCAACATCGTTCACAAGAATACTGGTATTCTTGTGTTTGTTGATCGTTTCAGCAAGATGGTACATCTTGTTGCTGTACCAGAGTCAATCACAGCCCAGGGCTGTGCGCGTGTCTTCATCGATACTATCTTCCGACTTAACGGGTAGCCTTTTTAACTTGTGTCTGACAGAGACCCCTTGTCACAGCGTAGTTTTGGCAATCCGCGTTCCTTTTATTTAGAACACGTTTGACGATGTCGAATTCTGACCATCCTGAAACAGATGGTCAGACGGAACGCGTCAACGGCGTCCTCGAAGAGATACTTCGAGGATACGTACACGATTTTGCGAGTCGGAGTGAATTCTTGACAATGACGGAATTCGCCATCAACAACTCGGTGCACGCGTCAACCACGCATACTCCTTTCTTCGTAATTGGCCTACTCCATCAACGTTTAACCGCCTTCTTAGGGTGTGACTCTAGTTTAAGGGGTGGGGGGGTGGAATCGCTTGAACAAAACCGATCTGGTTCTTGATCATCACCCGTCGACAATGATGTGATGTGGTGGATACAGATGTCGATCACATCGACATTAATGACGATAATGGCGACGATTCTCGTATGTTCCGCATCGCCAATGACTGCCACAGTGAGGAAAATGACGCCCTCACAGTTAAAGACAACGTTCGTGAAGCAGTGCACACGAAGCGCAACGCTGTTGACAAGGATAAATCAGCAGAATAATTTCTGCTGACTCGCGAAGCGGCTATCCGCTTCGTTCAAGACTCTATCGCAGACGCAATAGACAGACAGAAGAAAAACGCAGAAAAACATGGAGGAGCAAATTTTTATTCATTTGATGAAGGAGACTTATTTAGCTATCTACAGTAAACCCACGGGAACACGCAGTGACAAACGTGGGCAGCAGTAAACTACTGCTCAAGTACATCGGTCCATTTCGTGTGTTGCGTCGATTGGGCAACGCATACACGATTGATCTTCCCAGTAAGATGCGTACGCATCCTACGTTTTACGTTGGACGTCTCCGACCGTGCCATCAATACAAGCCCGTTTCGAGAGGCGGAGAACACCTCCGCGATCAAGGGCCGAGACCACCTTAGAGTGGTCCCATTTCAACGAACCATCTGATGATCTAGCATAGCGACCTTCACACGCAATTGAGCGATGCCATGACGAGCTCCAGTCAGCTCGTCACGAAGATATATATCGGACGATCGGTCTCGAGCTGGTCGACGCAAACGCGGCACGATCGTTCGAACATAGTGGGCTAAGGAATGTTATCGTACTTTACTTTTTCATGAAGCTTGTAACGCCGATTCCGTTCATGAGCCAGGATGTCGTGTAACTTATCCGTTCCGCGCTTCGATTTTTACACGTCAAGCTGATCCGACCCTCGAGCCGGATCAGGTGTTTCCGCCTCCGTTACATCTTTTAATGGATCTGGAAGTAGTCAACGCTTTCTGATGGAGCGTATCTTTTGAGCCACAGCGACGTGAAGGGCGTATGAAGGAGTTACCTCGTCCGCTGGCGTGGCTATCCACCTACCCGGGACAGCTGGGTGCCTCGCGCCCGCTGATTGTTGGCGTTCTGGATCTCGTCGAGCAGTATGACGAGACCCACTCGCTGCGTCCGAAGAAGGGCCGTCGGAAAAAGACCTCCTCGAACGCGAGTACTGGGATTGCAAAGTGTCAGTCCTTTCGGACATCTCAGAAGAGATGCGCGCCCTCCAGTAGGGATCTTTAGGGAGGTAGACCTCCCTAGGGGCACGGTTCGAGTTGTCTAGGCATCCTGGACACGGATCGCCCGCGAGAGACAGGGTAATTTTGCATCTCTTGACAGTCGATGCAACTTGTATCGTACACTGGCCGGGTTACGTTTTTCAAACCTGATGCGAGCTGCATCAAGTTTACCGAGCCAGGCCTCACGGCCATTGCACTCGATGTTATGGGTGAAGGCATTCCATCCCTGCACCAAGGAATTACCTTCGCGGTCACGGTTGCCATTGTATTACGATATTCGAAGAACTCATCGTTGTAGAATTCTTCCTCGAAACGAATAGTTTTCATGCTGGAATTAGGAGGATAGATCCTCCTACAGTAGAATTACGGGATTCGATCCCGTTCGGTGGTTATACCGGCCACTCTATCTAACTCCTTGAATGATGGCACTCAAGGATCCTCTAATTGAGAAGCATGGCGCAGGGCATTGTGGTCCCTGGCCTCTTGATCGGTGTCAGCATGAGCACTGACACCAATAATAGCTCGATTCCTCGAGTTGCTATTTTTGTGGCGATGCATAGGTGCATCACCACAATCACCACGCGTCCCGTTGTCAGGTAGACTTGCGTAAGACGAGGATTCTTCGGCCGAATCGCTAGGTCCGAAGATCTCGGACATGATAGCGCCATGTTCCCCTATTCCAGTCAACCTAGCTCTGGCAGTGTCCGCCCCGGGTGATCCGGAGGCAGGTGAGCGGCCTTCCAGTCGGATGAATTATCCGATACGCCAGGATAGAAGGAATCTATACCAGACTCATCTACATTGCGATTCGCGGTACCCGCTGCCGACGCAGCGGATGTACCTGTCGCACGTGGAGACTCACCACACGGACAAGTCGCAACAGGCACTGCCTGTTGCTCACTTACAACAGCAGGCGAATGACCACATGCTGCTGAGGCTCGAGAACTACTTTCTTCGGCTGCACGCATGCGTGCAACCGCCTTCCTAGCTGCTTCATCAGCGCACCACATGGACTTTGACACCATGCGATGAATTGGCAAATGAGTTTAAATTTGACCAACAGGTCCTCCTCTTTACCAGAGTATCCAAAGATGACGCCCTGTCCCCGATCAATTTAATTCAATCAACGGGGTGATTGATGGGTAGAGGGGGGATGGATGTAACGTGTAACGGGGTGAATCGTAACATAACAATCTATAAGAAATTGTTAATAGAATATAACTATAAGAGTTATATTCTCAGAATATTGTCATAAGGACAAATATTCTGTAGCACTTACAAGTAGTTCCTAATTGGTTGATATAGGCCATTATATCAACCAACGAAGACGCGCCACGACAGACGCACGCAATGAGTGGTGAGCAGATAACTGATTTACACATTTGTATTTAGACATAGTTAGATGAAGATAAATAGTGATTTATTGCAGACATTAACTATTATAAATACAGTTCTACGTTTTACTTTAACCAAGTACTCGCTTCTTCTTACCGTCTTCCTCTGCACGTACGAGTGTACGTGAAGTTACGAGGCACCGCCTTATTCTGTTGTCAGAATAAGTAGCTTGTACTGTCACCAGTACAAGCTTCAGGGTGCCCCGTTACACCTCGTAGCACTTCGTAGTCCGTCCAAGGACCGCGTTCACATCCAACATGAATATGTTGGATGATGAAGATGACCAAAGATTTCACGCTACGCGTGACGGTTACTCCCATTTGAGCGATGTCGAATGGGATGCGGTTGAACGAATGGGTTCGACCATGGGCATCCATGCTGTTAGCGTCATGCTAGAGGCTCTCATTAGAGATGCCCAACATGCTACTATCGCCAAGTTCATCCAAAATGAACTTGACGCTGAACGCGAGAAAGTAGCCTTGCTTCACCAACAAGGTTCTCAACAAGCAGAGTTGTTGAGAGAACAAGGTGCTCAACAGTTTGAACTGTTGAGACAGCAGCAGGCTGCTGGCGGGTCGATGCACTCGCGTCGGCCCGAGACTTTGAAGATTGACATCTCAAAGTATAGGGGGGTCGAAGAAGACTCCCTCTTGAGATGGTTCGTCGAATTGGATGACGCCATAAGGGCGCGTCGCATCGACGACGGGGATATGCAAGTTGCATTTGCCCAGTCAAATCTGGCAGGACGTGCCAAGAATTGGGCACTGGGGCTCAAGCTGCACGACCCATATGCGTTTGGGTCGTTGGAAGTCTTCAAGTCGCGGCTCAGACAAACGTTTGAACCGCCTAGAGCTGAGTTCAGGGCTCGAACCGAACTCTTGAAGCTCAAGCAGGGTAAGCGTGATGTGCACGCTTACGCTCAACACATACGACATCTTACGAGTTGTATAAGTTCCAATCCAGTGGATGAACACACGTTGGTTTCGGTGTTCATGCAGGGTCTTGCGGATGGTCCCGTCAAGACTCACCTGTTCCGGCTTGAACTAGATTCACTAGAACAAGCCATTTCCATTGCGGAGCAGGAAGGCTTCAGTCTGAGACAGGCTCGCGCCAGCTCGACATCATATCGTCAACCGAGAAGATATGACAACGGAGGTCCAGAGCCGATGGAACTCTGTTATGTAGAGAGCGAGAAGGTTCGCTCTACAGGCTACAAGAAGTTGCAGAGATGCAACAGATGTCAAAAGACAGGACACTACGCTTACGAGTGTAGTGCCCCTCGTCCAGTGTCTCGCGACACTGGGCGTAGTGACCGTCCACCCATGAGAAAGGGGCAGGGACGAGGGTCCGCAGTTGGTGCAAAGACGTAACAACGGGATGGACCGTCAAAAAACGGACAGGATCAGTAGGTGCGGAGCACCCTACTGATCCAGCAACGTCAAGAGAATTTGTAGGCCTCTTGATGAAGGTTGCTCCCAACACACAGACGTTGTGCGTTGCTGCTCTAGGTAATGAGATCTCACTCATTACCTTGAAACTCGAAGTGACGAATAAGTTGTACCTTCGAGCTCTAGTCGATTGTGGGGCGTCCAACAATTTTGTGCGACGCCAATCACTAGAAGATGGTCACTTCAATTTTTATGAATGTGACACACCTCCTACGAGGATGATGGTACGTCTTGCGACAGGCGCATTCGTAACCGTCATGAAGCGTATAGTGAAGATCCACTATACGCTAGAAGATACCCAATATGATGATCACTTTGTGGTATTCGATTTGGATGACAAATATGACGTCATCCTTGGAATACCGTGGCTCAGAAGGTACGAACCACGAGTAAACTGGCAACATCGAACAGTAACGATGCCTGCCGCTTGTTCATCAGATGGCCATCTGATGAACGTTTTGGAGCGTCCACAAGCGTGTGGATGTACTACGAGTGAGTGCGATGGCCTCACTTGTGGTACGGTCGTTAGTACGACTGCACAAAACCTTAGTGTACCAAACGGTTACACTTCGGAGCAAAGTTCCGGCGGCTGTGAGGAAACACAGGCTGCGCCGAAGGTCCACCACTCGAATAAGTCGGGTGGACTGGGACAAAGATGTATCCCTAGAGGGGAACATCTAGAAGAGAAACAATCGATCGCTCAGGTTAAGCGAAACGATAATCCTAGATCGACTGGAGAGTCTTTCGTAGAGGATCTCGCTGTGGTTGCGCAACCCCAGCTAGAGGAAGTAAAGGGAATAAGTCCCAAGATTACAAATACGGCGGAAATAAGTTCCCCGAAACCCGCGGGAATAAGTCCCCGGGAAGACGAAGGAATAAGTCCTTCGAAGCCTGAGGGAATAAGTCCCCAGGAAATGACAGAGACATTGAATGTCATAGTCAATAACGGATCAAGTGTAGGCGCTTATACACTTGATCTGATTGCGCCTCCGAAGTTGACTTCGGAGATCACTCAGTTGCCAACGCTCGAACATAAAAGGTTCTTGCGTGATCTGCGTAGTGGCAAAGTCAAGCAGATCTGCATACTCGTCGCTGACGACGAGTGTGTAGCCGACATAAGGTCAGCAACAGTGTTTACTGAGAACGAGAGAGTTCTCAGTAGTTCATCTATGGACGAGAGTGTCCTAGATGAAAAGACACGAATTGAGCGATATGAGTCCCAATCATGGGAATCGCTCAAGGAAAATCCTCTCTATGAAGATTTGGTTTAATTCAAGGATGTATTCCCTGAAACTGTTCCGTGCGAGTTACCGAAGGATAAAGGTATTCGACACGAAGTCGAGCTTAAACCAGGCTCGAAGTACTGTGTCATGAAGCAGTGGCCACTGCCTCGTGAACAAGTACTTGCGATCGACAAGTTCTTTGCCGATCGTTTAGCAGCGGGCCATGTGAGGGAATCAACTTCCCCACATAGCTCTCCGACCTTCTGTGTGCGAAAAGCAACAGGAGGGTGGCGGATAGTGCACGCGTTCAACAAACTGAACGCTGCAACGGTACCGGCTCAGACGCCGATACCGAGGAAGGACGTAATCATTGATGGTATGTCAAAGAGTACCATCTTTTCGTCCATGGATTTGATGGATGGCTTCTATCAAATCCTAATGCGGGAACGGGATATACCCTATACCGCAGTTAGCACGCCTAGCGGCGTGCTCTGGGAATGGCTAGTAAGGCCACAAGGGCTCAGTAATGCCCCTGCCACGTTCAACAGGTGTGTATCACATCTGTTGAGGCCAGTACGAGAATTCGCGCCGAGTTATTTCGATGACGTATTCATCCATAGTCGAGCTATGAATGGAAAGTCGGACGTTGAGGTTCACAGGTACCACGTCCGACAAGTTCTTACAATCATGCGAAAGCATCAATTGTATGCAAACCTCAAGAAGTGTATATTCGCAGCAAGCGAAATACCACTTCTTGGGTGCATCGTTGGTAAGAACGGTGTACGTCCTGATCCCGAAAAGATCAAGGCGATCACCGACTGGCCTGTGCCGGTCGATGTCAAAGGTCTTCGAAAATTCCTTGGGCTAGCGGCGTATTTGCATAAGTATTCACGCAATTACGCCGAGATGACTGTGCACCTCTCTCGTTTGTTGAAAAAGAACGAGAGGTGGTTATGGAACGCTGAATGTCAACGCTCCTTTGAGGGTATCAAGCAGAGCTTGATACAATCCCCAGTCCTAGCAATAGCCGATCAGGACAGGCCATTTCATGTGGTCTGTGATGCCAGCGATTTCGCAATCGGCTGTGCATTAATGCAGTACGATCTTGAAGGCGTTGAACGCGTCGTCTGCTATCAGTCGCGTCAGCTGCAACCAGCTGAGCGGAACTATCCAGTGCATGACAAGGAACTCCTTGCCATGAAGTATGCACTCGCGAAGTTCAGAGTCTATCTATTAGGAGATAGACCCTTCGTTGTTTACACTGACCATGCGTCATTACGCACGGCAGTGAACAGCCCGCACCTTTCACAACGAATGGCGCGGTGGTTGTCATTCTTTGCAGAATACAACTTTACGGTCGAGTACAAACCAGGACGACTTAATGTCGTCGCTGATGCACTCTCACGTCGTCCCGACTTTGAAACAGTCGCGAAACCCAACAGTGAGACAGTCACTGTTGCGGTTATGACGTCCTCAGTTCCATCTACAATGTTGTATGATGATGTGAGGCGGGCATACGCCCAAGATGGTGAGATAGTGAAGTTGTTGTCACATCTCTCCCAACCATCCCGAGAATCGTTGAAACGATTGTCGCCTGCGTATCGATCTGCATCAGATCGATACACTACTCGTAACGGTTTACTGTATTATACAGCCGTTTCTGGTGACACACCACGTGTTGTCATTCCAGATGATACTGATCTGCGTTTGCGGATCATGTTCGAAGTATCACGATGCTCCTATAGGAGGACATCGTGGCCGAGAGAAAACATATCTCACGGTAAGTCGAGACTTTTACTGGCCCCGCCAGTATCAGTTTGTGCGAAAGTATGTTCGCGCATGCGAAGTCTGCCAACGAGTGAAGTCAAGTCCTTCACTGCGTGCACCTTTACAGCCTCTACCGGTTCCGGCTGAGTGCTGGGAATCCATCTCAATGGATTTCGTCTTCGGGTTACCCAAAGACGCACGCGGGAATACGGGTATTCTCGTATTTGTTGACAGATTCAGCAAAATGGTACACCTTGTGGCTGTACCAGAGACAATCACGGCAAGTGGCTGTGCTTGTGTCTTTATTGACACCATCTTCCGACTTCATGGGTTGCCCCGTGAACTCGTATCAGACAGAGATCCACGATTCACTGCTGATTTCTGGCGTTCCGTGTTCAAATCACTCGGAACGCGCTTGAAGATGTCAACATCTGATCATCCAGAGTCGGATGGTCAGACGGAACGTGCCAATCGTGTCCTTGAAGAGATACTTCGAGGATACGTACACTCCTTTAAGAGTTGGAGTGAGTTTTTGCCAATGGTAGAGTTTGCCATCAACAACTCGGTGCATGCGTCCACGACACATACACCGTTTTACGTGAATGGCTTGCGCCATCCGCGTGTACCCACCTTACTAGAGTGTAACTCTGGTTTAAGGGGGGGAGGGACTCGCGCGAGCAAAAACCGAATTGGTTCACGCTCATCACGCTCTGACGAAGAAGTCATTGCGTTTGATGCCGATATCGATAACATCGATATCGAAGAAGATGATGCCAGTGAGAGTGCGGAAGCCCTCACTGAAGACAATGATCCCAGTGAGAGTGCGGAAGCCCTCCGTGAAGAAAAGGTTGTTGTTGCTGCAGTGCGCTCACAGCACACTGAAGCTAACGAGTCATCAGATGAGTTCATACTGGCTCGTGAAACGGTAGTCCGTTTTGTGCAAGACTCCATCGCCGAAGCGGTGGACAAGCAAAAGCAAAACGCTGACAAGAATGGAAGGGCAAACACTCTTTTATTTAACAAAGGTGACTTAGTCCTACTGTCTACGGTTAATCTACCAAAGCATGTAGTGACTAACTTGGGTAGCAGTAAACTACTACCCAAGTACATTGGCCCATTTCGTGTATTGCACCGCCTAGGCAATGCATACACGATCGAGTTACCACGTAAGATGCGAACGCATCCCACGTTTTACGTTGGTCGGCTTAAGCCGTACCATCAGTACGCTGCTTCTTCCGATGAAGAACGCCCTTGCGCTCAAGCATCTCGCAGAGAGCCTTGTGCTCCCGATGGTGGGCATCAACAAGGGTCTGAAGAGCAGTTATCTCAGCCCGAGACCGATCAACAATCCCACGAGCTACCCTTAGCTCGTCACGAAGAGATGTCAGAGATCTCTCGTTCTCAAGCTGAGCAAAGGCAAACTCAGCTCGATGCTTCGAGGCAGTGTCCGCCATTTGGAGACGCCTATTCCGCTCATGCTCGAGATCGTCGCGTAACCCTTGCGTTACGCGATCAAAGAAGCTCTCGGGAACACACCGATCCACATGATCGTGTGGAGAGCGTATTTCCTCCTCCTCCACCTCCATTAGAGGACTCTCGCAATGGCCAGTGCTATCTAGTGGAGCAGCTGTTGAACCACCGCGACGTGAACGGACGTCGGACGAGTTACCTCGTCCGGTGGCGCGGCTATCCCCCGTCCTGGGATTCTTGGGAGCCCCGCTCCCAATTGATGGTTGACGTACTGGGTCTGGTCGAGCAGTACGACGCGGCACATCCTGTGCCGCAGAAGGACCGCCGGAGAAAGTCTTCCCGGCACGGTCGTAAAGGGATTTCAGGTTGTCAATCCCTTCGTACATCTCAGTAGAGACACGTACGCGCCACCACGGGCTGGTAAGGAGGTAAGCCTCCTTAGGTGCTCGTGCAGAGTTGTTCACACAACATGGGCACGAGTCTCCCCAAGAGAGGCAGGGTAATCCTTTCTCCCTTGACAGACGATGCAGCTTGTAGCGTGCACCTGTCGGGGTTCGCTTTTCAAACTTATCACGAGCTTTGATAAGTTTGTCGTTCCAAGCGTCACGACCTACATCCTCGAGGTTATGGATGTAGGCGTTCCACGCCTGAAGTAGTGAGGGACCATCACGTTTGTGATTCCCACTGTACCATCGATGTCTGAAGAAAGCATCGATGAAGAACTCATGTTCAGCGCGATAGTCTTTCGCGCTGGGGTCAAGGTGATGGATCCTTGACGAATCGAACAATCGTGTTCGATAACGATCACTCGTCGTCGCCGACAAGTGATCCATGACTGATTTTGGAGGCATCCATCCCTTCTTTTCTGGAGCGAGACGCAACACATTGCGGTCCCGCTCTTCCTGCGACGTGCCGACAGAAGTACTAGCACCTCGCTGTGAAGTGGTGTCCATTGGAGAACCGACACCACTATTAGCGCCCGAGTCTCGCGACCTCGAGTGCCTTCGCTTCGGCGATGGTTCATCTGACTCATCAGATGAACCAAAGATGCTGCGACGCAAAGCATCGTCTATGCCACGCTTGGCAGGCGGCTTAGATTCAATCGCCGCCGATACGGATCCGTCATCCGTATCAGGAGAGTACGAGACACCGAGCTCGTACTCTGTGAAGACACGAGTGTCTTCATGACCAGCGCCTGCGTCACCAAGTGACACAGGCTGGGTCTCTTCAGCAACCGATGGGACATCAGTTGCTGTTGTTTCTGCTTCGGCGTCCGCACAGAGACGTGCAGACGCGCTCTCGGCGGCCTTGCTCGCGCATCGCATGGGCTTGTTAACCATGCGATGAAATGTTGGAAAGTGGACGCGGACCAACAAGTGCAAACCCTATCCCAAATGATTTGGGACGAGTATCCATTTAGTCAATCAGTCACTAAAATGACTGATGGTTAAGGGGGGGGTGATGTAACGGGGTGAATTATTGCATAACAATCTATAAGAAATTGTTAATAGAATATAACTATAAGAGTTATATTCTCAGAATATTGTCATAAGGACAAATATTCTGTAGCACTTACAAGTAGTTCCTAATTGGTTGATATAGGCCATTATATCAACCAACGAAGACGCGCCACGACAGACGCACGCAATGAGTGGTGAGCAGATAACTGATTTACACATTTGTATTTAGACATAGTTAGATGAAGATAAATAGTGATTTATTGCAGACATTAACTATTATAAATACAGTTCTACTTTTTACTTTAACCAAGTACTCGCTTCTTCTTACCGTCTTCCTCTGCACGTACGAGTGTACGTGAAGTTACGAGGCACCGCCTTATTCTGTTATCAGAATAAGTAGCTTGTACTGTCACCAGTACAAGCTTCAGGGTGCCTCGTTACATAACGGGGTATCCCGTTACATGATATTGACACCCATTGGTGTCACTAGAAATATTGTCTATCGTGACAATCTCCTGCCAATACAACCCGAGATAGATAATATTGAAGGAGTATTGTTCCGTTAGGGTAACATTCATGCGCTGCTCAAAGATTGATTGATAAAAGACATATCAACCAAGATTACCACCAATCGCTGCTAGATGCGCGTAATGAGTGGTGTACAGAGATTGTTGTCATTCTACAATGTAAATTAATATGGTTAGATGAAGACTGAAGTTATTTTGATAGCTTAACTATTTAAATACAGTTCTCTTTTTGCCTTCACTCAAACCAGCAGTATGAGTAGACTTGCGACCTCTGCACGAACGAGTGTACGGGAAGTTTCGTGGCACCCAAACGAAGGATGCTCCGTTACACCACCACTGCCGTAATTTAAGATGTGAGTGGCTTGGAAACACATCACTAAGATTCAGAATAGGGTGATAAACACAAGCTCTTGCAACATCTTGCATCCAACGCAGAGCGGTGTGTCGTACAAGACAGGATTCTGTCAAACTTGGATCGCGTAAGGGGCTTGTCGTCGGGGTCCTCAATCCATGTATTATCGGTGAAATCGTCTTCAGATACAGCGATAGCCACTCCTTTGAGGTCTATATCTTCCGTATAGTTTGGAAATGTGTCACGGACAAGGACGGAAACCGAAGAAAGAAGCTCGACATGCACCGTAGCATCGACCACCTTTTTAAGCTTCATTCCCACTTAACTGGTTATCTTAAACATCATTACGTGTCCGAAAGAACGTTTAACGCGTTTGGACAACGGAATAGCAAAATTCTTAGAAACGGATTAGCCCCGCCCGTTTTGTATGGTTATTAGCGTAGCTCACGATCCAGTGCGCGCTGCTCCATACATGAGTCGAAAAAAACGGTACGGGAGGCCACGCACGACTAGACGCTAAGAGTGTATAGGGCATAGCTCGTCGTGAGTCACGACTTGTGACGTGTCACCTGCCGCACAAACAGACGGCGCGCTGCCTCTCAGCTGGATTTTCTCGAAAGGATATTCTGCTCGATACGATTGTGTGGTATTTTTTTTCGCCAGCGAACTGCCTTTGGCTCAAACATGCGCCACTTGGGTGTCCTACTGCTGTATGAACTCGCAGTGCTTGTCCGTTTGCTTGTAAAAGCTGACGATGTTGCTGTCACGGAAGCGGGAACCTCGACGAAGATGATCGGCGACACTGCATCGTCGATTGCGACCCATTTCAACGTCGCTATCGGGAGGTTCCGACGACTGGATGAGACAGAAGAAAGAGCTCCTCCCGTTCCTTCCGATGCTATAGTATCACTCGCCCCGCCGAACGTTATGGTGGTAGCCAAATCCTGGCTCGAGTCGTTGGGACCGGTGACAAAGAGCAGCTTTGCTTCTTTTGCCGACTACAAGCCTGGACCGTCGATGGTCGGACACTTCTTCGGGGCATTGTTGCCGAAGCTGGAAAATAGCATTCATGCTCACGCTTGGCTACGTAAAGGGGAAACTGCAGACAGCATTTTCAAGGAAATGGGGCTCGACGCTGGACTGAGAAAGGTCGCGTACAGTCCGAGGTTTTACACTTGGGTTGAGTTTGTCAGTCTCTTGATAAAGCACAACCGGGCCGATAAGGGGTCGATCGCTCGGGTTGTATCAGAGACGTACTCGGATGTGGAATTGGTGCGGACTATTGATGCGGCCAAAACTCGGAAGGATCGTCGATTGGCGATCGACTTGGAGGCCGGGCAAACGTTCTATTGGCTTCATCCGAAGAAGAAGACTGGACTCGAGGTTTACACGCTGCTCGGGCTTCAAGACAAGAAAGGAAAGAAAAACATTTTCAACCTCCCCGAGTTCTACAGATGGTACGAGTACGTGACAACAGCGTATCAGGGTGACAGTGCTGTGCGTGTGGTCGAGGTGTTAGCAAAACACTATAGCAAGACAGAGCTGGGTGTGCTGTTCAATACCGCTAAGCCGCGAGGCAAACTTCGAAACGAATATTGCGTGAAGGTGGAAACCGCGGTCGGCGAAAAGATGGAATTCGTCCTTCGCACAATGGCAAGAAAAGAAGCGATGGGAAAGAAAGCAGCAGAGAGGAAAAAGAAAGCAGAGGAGGGGAAAGCAAAAGTAACCGAAGGCATCTAGCAGCACTTTGCCCTACGGAGAAGGGTATGTCTTGCCAATCGAGATCTGATGGGGCGGCGTCACGTTTCTTGCATGTCCACCTCCATATATCCCAGCACGTCATTTTCCTTTTCCATGTTCTTGTTACTACCGTGCGTCTCTTTGTTTCTACGTTCTGTTGGCTTGATCCAGTCGTCGCTCACAGTCTTTCTTCCCATATCTTGCAAGTTGTGTGGTATCGCTGCGAATGTCTCGTTGTACACCCGCAAAGCTCCCTTCCACACCTTGCTCCATAAAATGTAATTGTATAAAAAGTGTCACCTCTCGAAAAGAGGCACTCGCGTAGGGTGTCGTTATTGCAGCAAAAGCAGGATAGCCGCGCACAGCTCGTGACCCCACACGGACCTTCAATTGGTCAAAACCAAAATCCGCCATCCAATCAACTCATGCGAACCACTCCATCGTGTCCGCCGCTCTTTTGCGCCACTCACTCACTCACTCTCTCAGTTCTTCCTTTTCATTTGGACTTTTTGCTTACACCGAGCCAATCGAGTCTTCCGTGACACACTGGCGTCGATCCAAAAAGGAGCTACTACTGACGGAAATATCGGCCATGCTCCAGCGCTTCGTTACTCGCGCACGTCCCGCCTCATGCGTTTCTTGTCGTCACCAACCGGGTCGTGTCACCGTTGCTCAGCTCCCGGCCGCTCGTTTCTCGTCCGAGGACGACTGGCGCATCTCGGAGGAGGACTTTGACGAAGGCCCCGACAAGATCATTGATAAAGTCCGTCGGGACTCGATGCCTCGTCGCCAGATCATGCCCGAAGCGGCGAAAAAGAGCCGGTTCATGGTCGTGGCCCCGGAGAATCGTGGCAAAGTCCGTCGCCGTCTCCTGGACGAATTCAAGAAGGACGGCATCACGCTCGCAGATGTCGACCAGCCTGGGCAGTACCTTACGCCCGACGCTGGGCTGTTACGTGACATTCGGGTCATGAACAAGGAAGCCGATGAAATGGAGTTTGCCGAAGAGGAGGAAGAAGGAGAGCTCAATCTCGGGCAAATGGGGCTCTTGCGCCAGATTGTGCACGTCGACCAGGTCCAAAAAGTGACCAAACAGGAGCGGATTGTGAATTTTCGAGCACTCGTGGTTGTGGGCAACATGCGCGGAGTTGCTGGGTACGCGGTGGGGAAAGGCTCGTCGCCGCCACTAGCGATCCAGCGAGGCACAAAGCTCGCGCTGAAGCGGTTCACTTATATCGACCGCTTTGACGACCGGACGTTGTACCATGAAGTGCGCGGCAAGTGGAACAGCTGCACGCTGTTCTTGCGTCCGGCACCTAAGGACAAGGGCCTGACTGTGAGCGACACGGTGGCTTGTGTGCTCGACTGTTTTGGCATCACGGACGTGGTGTCTAAGACGCACGGCCAGCGCAACCCGTTTACGGTTGTGAAAGCCACGTTTGATGCACTCGCCAAGCACGAGACGGCAGAGGAGATGGCTCTTCGGACAGGACACTCGCTTGTCGAGTTGAGCACGCTCGCGCGGACGCGCAATTTGTAAACGCGCAGAGCAGAGCTGCAATGGTAGAGACAGAGAGCGGAGCGATCCCGACGATAAAGGCATTGTTGCCAGCTTTGTGTTAGACGGGCGTGCTGTTCTTGCTCGGTTCTCATGTGCGAGAGCGTGCAGGTCTGCAGCGCTATGTATACATTTGTGCACCGTGCGCACCAGCTTCTCGCGTAGACGTGATGATCGATCAGCGACTATCTGGCAATTTGGCATCTTAACGTCGATCAAGTGAGTCAATCACTTACCACCTCCAGCTGACTTCTCATAGAACCTGTCGCTCGATTTTACAGCATCCACCAACCAGTTCATCGCACCTTCAACGCCCTCCCTAGACACCAGCGATAGTAAGCGTTATCGAATATGACAATATCTCACCAGCGCTGCACCCACCCACCTGGTCAATGCACAGATGGGGTAACTCGCCATGCTGCCTCGATGTCCTTCTAGGTCCAACGCCTCTGTAACGTGGTGCACCGTTCTCGCGTCTTCCAGGTCCATCTTGTTGGCGAGCACCAGCAGCGGTACTCCCGACAATTCAGGGTTCGACAGCATCGCGTCTGCGTAAAAAACACAGTATGCACCTGGTTCAACCACACCACCTGCAACCTGCTTCAACCCTCTACACTACCGCGTACGCAGCGTCTCTTTGGCTTCTTGGAACCTTCGTTCATTGGCCGAGTCGATTACGAACACGACGCCATGGCTCTCGCTGTAGTATTTGTTCCAGATCGCTCGAAGACGTTCCTGGAAGCACCACCAGGTATCACTTTGTCAATACTTCGATCCTCCTCGTTCTCCGCCGCCGTCCATAGTATCAGCTCAACCTGTCCACCCAGATCCCAGAAAATGACCCTCGACCGTCGAACATCAACTCGAGCAACTGAGCAGACAGCACATAGTACCACGTCAGACTTTCTTTACCCTCCTATCGCACAGAATTCAAATACAAAGTGACGTACTGTTAAGTCCCACCGTAGGCGGAATTTTGTCAAGGGGGATGCCTGGTTTCTTGCTAAAGATGCCTTTGAGCTGTTCTAAGAGCGTCTGTTCAGGCACCAAAGCCATTCAGAATCAGCCTTTCTCTTCATAAGCATGACACGTAAATCCGCCAACTGCACCTACCGTTTTTCCCGCGTCGTCGAGTCCAACGACCAGCAGATGCAGCTCTGCTCTAGTGAACAAATAACTCCATAAGCCCCAAAAGAGCGAGAACATGGTCGTGGTGATTATTATCCAGAGTGTGTGAAATATATCGTGTGCGCGTGGTGTGTCAGTGGACATCATATCGCCGTCATAAAAGGATTGACCAATCCACGCCCTCGTCACTCATTTTTGCTTTTCCTACAAACTTAAAGGCCCATACCTAAAAAAAAACGTGTAAGGAATGCAAATCCAGATCAAGGTACGAAGTTACCGCAGTGCGTGTGGAGCTGCTGTGGCGCGTGATGAAGTGGGCTGAAAGGTGGTTGTTTTGTACTTTTGTTGTGGACACAGACACTCACGGGTCGAAAACAGACGTTCAACTTTGAACCGGACAACACGGTGCTGCTATATTTTATTTGGAAAATAGGACCTTTTACAAAAAAAGCGCTTTTAACGCTGACCTCCCCTTTGCTTTTTTTGTAATTCGCCGGTCAAGATTTTGCACGTGAAGCAAGCTTTGCAAGAGAAGGAGGGCATTCAAGTGGACCAGATCCGGCTCATTTACAGTGGCAAACAGCTGTACGTAGGCAGCCTCGATGCAGAAGGAGAGCTTCTGCTAACAGGGGGCCTTCTTGGTGTGTACCTTTTCTGTAGAGCGGATGACAAGACGCTGCAAGATTACAATGTCGAACCCGGTGGTACCATCCATATGGTGCTACAGCTGCGTGGCGGACGCTAGAAGACGAGACGTCGAGTTTTCGTAAGTGCTGATCGAGAGGGTTCACGCGGTTAGAGTAACTCGGAAGACCTCTTGCATCCACGAGCTAGGAGCACTTTGTTACAGTGACGGCAACTTGCAGTTAGAAGGATCGAATATATGGTTCGTTCTCTTCTATTCTCTCTTGTCTTACAAAACGTTCGTGGAGTTTGCAGCAGCAGCCGCAGCATGGTTGGAAGCATCGAGCTGTTGCTTGATCAACGGTTCCAACTGCTTCTTCTCGGCCAGCGTCTTGAGCAACTGGACGACGAGTGGAATGTAGTTGTGTTTGCGGCGCTTGTTCTCCAGCGCCCAGTTCTCACGCTTCTGTTGCTCGGCTGCAAGGTCTGCGTGGATCTGTGCTGCGAGCTGCTCACTCCCGCCAGTCTCAAGCATCGCCTGAAGCTGCTCTTCGTACGTTTGTATCCGGTCGCGCACCAGCGCTAGCAAGTTAAAGCGGATCTCGGACTGTGCGTATTTTTCGATCCGTTTCTGGATCACCGGACACGCAACCCGCAGCCAAGACTCGCGCTTGTCCTCATCGGGTACATTGCCGAGGCAAATGGGACCTTCTTGGAGCCCATCCAGCTCGTACACCCTTCCATTCAGTGGCACGTACGCTATAAAGTGGTACACCTCGTCGCTCCCTGTCGCCTTCCTCTCGTCCTCGACAAACGGCTCCGCTCGCGCAAAGGAGTTGTGAGCGAGTCGAATCTTGTCGCTATTGGAGATAGCAAGACCCTTGAGCTCCGGCGAAAAGTCACTTGTAAAGGCCTTGAACTCAGACAACGTCTCACCCAGTTCAATGCCGTGCGAATTGAGCAGGATGGACAGAATGGCTTGTGTGGCGCAGGCGTTGCTGATCACTTGCTTGGCAAAGAACACGCCCTCCTCCTCTCCAGTGAAAACTGGACGCTCTGCTTCATCCGCGTGAGTGGACTCGTACTTGAACAGGAACACGAGGCCGTAGACGGGGAGTAACCCGGCAAACTGCTGCTCGTCCAGTGAGTAGAGCTCCTCGACCTGCACGCCCTGTACGCCAATATCTTCAATGAGGGCGGTGAAGACACCTACATAAAAAGAGGGGAATAGAGGGGAGAGTGAGAATGGCTACAAGTGAGGGCAGCAGGAATAGAACATGACGAGACGCGAACTCTAGTACGGAGATCGCTACGAACGATCGACCGTGGCGACCACTAACTTACCGGGATCGGACTCGATGGTGCACCAGGACATTTCTATTGACACGAGCTTGAGAGAGACACAATCTTGAAAGCACGATGCGAGATTAATGAGTATTATCTAGTGACAATTACGGGGGAGGAAGGTGGTGTTTATTGCAATTATTGTCCTGTTCGTGGTGTGGAAAACGAATTGTCAGATTCTCGAGATGTACTCTCAACGATCCTGCATAGCGCTGGGTAGTTGTGCTGTCTGTCGACTGTTCGAAAGCTGATACGTTGAATAGCTTTAAGTGGGAAGTGTAGTTTACAAGTATTTCTTACTTCGTAAATGGAAGTTGTCAACTCCGACATGCTCATCCCTACTCAAGCATACCAAGTCACACGTACTGGGAGAAGATTGGGGTGCTTTGCCAACTGCCAAGTCATTTCGAGACACGATGTACTTCGTTAAATCTGTCCTGATCGCAATGGAAATCGACAGCTGCACGACACCATTTGCCTGCAACAGAGCCTGTTGAGTACTGTTGTATGCAAATGGTGTAGCGTCATCAGTTTTGACGCACCGGCGTAGGAGGTCCGAAACGACTGGCAACGTGAGTAGGCGAGAACTTGGCTGTGAATGAAAGAAGAGAGAGTTTCAATTTGCCCATACAGACTTTCATCGTCATTTTATATCGACAACGACACTGCTGAACCACTGATGTTCACGTGCCGGTCCAGTGTCAATGAGACGTCGCAGCTACTCAGCAAACAAATTGCTGAATGAACGCTTCTTACTTGTCGGTAAATATCGTCGCACTTGAGTCACCGAACTTTCCGTCGAAGAAGACCTCGGTCGGGTCCAGTCGTGCAGAAGGTTTCTCAGGCTTTGTCGCCGGGTTTGGACAACCAAGAGCAATTATTACAGGCACGGTATAACGGTCCGGAATATCCAGCGTATTCCTCACGCGGATCTGGTCCAGCCCTTCCATCGGACACGTCGCAAGTCCATGCAGCTGTGCCGCGTACAGAAAAGTCGCAGCAGCAAAAGCCGTCTGCTTGACCGCCCATGTTTCAGTTGACGCATTCGCAGGGGCAGGCAGCAGCGGCGACGCAGCTGTTGCGATGACTGATCGGAGACAGCTGGCAACTACACCCTCGCCCGAGAAGAGACGTACGACATGGGGCATGTTGGTTACAACGTCGGCAGGGGCCCCATTGTCATGAGCGAGTTGTTGCAGGCGTGGGATGCGCTTGCTTGGCTCTAGAAATCACGCCCACAACACAAAATTCAGATTTATAAGTTCCACCTGCAGCACGTTTGACAGCTTCGAACTAACTCACCGCAGTCTGCGGCGAAAACAGCAACTACTGGAGCTTCTTTGACCTTGCGGGCGTTGCCCCCCATCATGGCCTCGGCAAGTTTCTCGCGGTCCTTCGGCTCACGCACGAGCACGCACGCGTACGGCTGTGTATTAAACCCCGTGGGAGCTCTCTGTAATAAAGAATGGAAAGGCGGCAATCATCGATCAGATAACATGTCCAGCTGTAGGGGCTACTGTTAGTATCTTTTGCACCAGCGTGAGCTTGAGGATCTTTTCGAGCGTCTTGTCCGGCACTGCGTCCGGTAGAAACGATTTGCACGCAAAGCGCTCCTCGATGGCCATGCCCAGCTTCTCTTGTGAGCTGCTGCTGTGGCGGATTGGAGGCTTTGCGGCAGGAGCGTCTGGATGCAGCAGGAACGATGTCGCTCGACGCAGGAGTCGACGTAGAGCCATAGCAGGCGATAGATTTGGACTGGAAGTATAGTATTGATGGGGATTTGGAGCTCGAGTTTAAGATTCGATCCAAGACGACGGTTAACGGTTTGTTCAGCGCGTGTTTGTGGTGATCAATTGTGTCGCTTTTGTCACTTTTTTGGGTGATCAATTGTGTCGCTTTTGTTACTTTTTTGGAGAAGCGCTAGAATGCATGTACGGATGAAGGCTTGTGCATCAGGATCCATTTTTCTGGTGAGAGATCTGATAAGCCATTTTATTCGGCATAGAAGATTGAACACCACGCAGATCTTGCAGAAAGCAGTAATTTCTGGAATTCTCTTAGGATAGCGGGGTGAGACCGTTTTATGGTATCTGTAGATGATACTGTAAATATGTGATGTCTTCCTACCGTAATATTATCACTTGTTATTTACCTAATCTTAGTAGTTGATATTGTGATGTAGAAGTGAGACACTTTTCATTGGTTGTTACAGGTCAATGATGTCAACCAACAAAGCCGAGCCACGATAGAAGAGCTCAATGAGTGGTGAGCAGATACATTTACAATACGTGATTGTATGTAGGTATAATCAAAACAAGATTGCATATGATTCATTAACAAGAGATTGTCTATGCTAAATACAGTTCTACTTTTACCATTGTCTCGCATCGAAACCTTCCTCTGCACGATACGTGTACGTGAAGTTCCAAAGCACCTACTTACTCTATGTTCGGTGCAGTAACTTGTGCTGTAAAAGTACAAGTAATTGGTGTCCCAATACACCTGTAGCACTTTGCAGTTGGACCCACAAACATGAACATGTTGGATGTTAAAGGAGACGATTTTTGTAACACGATTACTCGCGGCTATTTGAATCGATTGTGTTGTGTGTCCACACCAAGTAAAGATCGGTGGACCTGAGTGGTATAGTCTTGGTACCACGTACTTACGGTAATATCGCACCTGATCGAGTAAGGATAAGGGACAAGGCTTTTGTCATAGGATCGCAATCCAGAAGTCAGCCAGACTAGAATTTATAGTTTTATTACCTTTGCTGAACAAATGAACTTCAGTTCCCCTTTTAAATTATTAGACACAAGTGCCTAGTAGAGGTTAAGTGTCGTTAAAAGACGCAGCCTTAATAAAACGTTAACTCTTGTGTAACTAGTAGTGACTAATTAGTGTGCGATTGTTTAAACGGTAATCTTCTTACAACTGGGATTGTTAAGCTTGTGTGCTTGAACGACTGTACGTCGTTGTTTGTTTGTAAATAAGAGGCTTATTGAATCCAAGACCTGTTAAGAAGCGCTAAGTAGCTTTGCTACAATTTTAATCCCACGCGTGATAACTACTCCAATTTGAGTCAAATCGAGTGGGATGCCGTCGAACCATTGAAATCGACGATAGGTCAAAATGCCGTCAACGCAATGATATCTTTTCTGGGACCAGACGGAAAAAACACGCCGCTATTTACAAGTTCATCCAGAATGAACTTGACACTGAACGGGAACGATACCTTGCTTCACTAAAAATAATCTCAACAGACAGAGCGGTTGGGACAGAAGCTGTGTAACGGGGTGTGCATGTTACATGTAATTAACCTTCAATACTTTCTGCTTAGAATATGATCATACAGGTTGATAATGTCTGTGGATATTACAATAAGACGCAATATACAGAAACACTCACCGATTGGATGATATGGGGCATCATACCAGCCAGCTCCAGCGGTCCAATCAACGATGGACGCACGCAATGAGTGGTGATCAAGACTTTAGCATGCATTTTTGCAGATAAATGTTATCAAGTTAGGCCTGGAACATAGGTTGATGATTAGGGCTCAATTATGTTTATTACGATCTACTCTAAGCAGCAACGAGTCAGTTTCCTAGTTGCTTTCCCTTCATTTACCAAGTTGACAGAGTTAGCGAGGCGCCACTCGCACTGCTGTCGGTGAGAGTAGCCCCACACATGTTGCCCAGTGAGTTTTTCAGGTGTCTTTATACACATAATAGCATTTGTAGTCCGTCTAAAGACCGAAAGACTGGTTCGACTTGAACATGTTGGACGATGAAGGCGACGACGACTTTCAAGGCACCCGCAAAAAATGAACTTATCTGGGCTATGTTGAATAGAGTGCGGTTGAACAAATGAGTTCGACCGCTGGCGCATTGCACTGTTGACAGTGCAAGGGTTATTTAGTTACCTGAATAAGGTGTTTCCCGTTACAGAGACGCAAGTCAAATCGACAGGATATTCGACGGGTCAGCAGCAGCTATACACGAGTAAAAACAGAATAACTATTTCATAGTTTATAAGTCGAACTGATCCGCTCAAATCATCTGGAGACCTCGTCCAGCGGGCTTGCCGTGATGAGTTACAGACCGATACCATTCAGGCTGCACTATTACACGAACTATTTAAGTGAAGCACTTGAGCGTTTCTACTGTGACATTCGAAAGGGTGGTAAAAAATGTGTAAGCAAGAGCTGTTGCAATTACAGCCGCAGATACGGGCGAGTGCGACGCATACACCGGTAGAGGTTGGTATCGATCCTAGACCAACATTATGGACACAAATTCGCGTATTTAATTTTTGCAGCATTTATATAGCCTAGCTGTAGGTTTCAATACTGGAACAACAATATGGACACAAAGCTGCGTCTCTCCTTTTTTCATCTTATTTGTGGCCTTGTTGCAAGTACCATATAGCGCGAATCTATTTAAGCTCAGATTTGTATCTACGAATTTGATCTCTTTAGTCAATTGCTGCAGTTCAGTGGTGACCTCGATTTACCTTGAGCTTTTGGTATGTTACACCTGAGTATTGCACGGATTTTTCTTTACAGTATAGACGTATGCATCAAGGCTATTCGACTCCAAGCTTCAAGCTTTTACTGCAGTCAACGCGAAAAATTAATTCCTGCTGCGAGTGATTTGTAAGTATCTCCATTATCTCTATAAATAATATGAACTCGGAATCTGTCTGCTTTGTGAGTACATAAAATGTGTTGTTCGTGTGCTTTCTCCTGTACAGAATAAATGGTCGCTGTTGTTGCTGCTAATAGTCCAACACACTTGTTCTCTATTTAATCACTGAAGCCAAAAAACTTGTCTTCAAATACGAACCCCTATATCTCTAATCGACAACAAAACTACTGCAAAGTATCAAATGGTGATGAATCGAGCTTTATGCACGTTCAAGTAAAAATCTTCGATTTATTATGCATTTACAGTTTGACTTGGTAACTCGAGTTGAGAAAATTAAAAACGTACCAAGACGTATACTTTACGTATGAAATGACCGAAATAAGTACCATTAATGACTTCAGGCCAACAGATTAAAACTATGCGTATTATACAACTACAAAGAAGCGCACGAAAAAACATATTATTGTACTGATGACAAGGCGGCTGTCGGCAGCTTTCGCCTGAAGATCAAGCTCTGCGGCGCGAGATTCCTGAACTGCATTATACATTCACATTGCCCTGACAAAGTTATTTTATAATCTAGACGCATTGCCACGTGACTACATGGAGATGCAATTGTTTTTAAATGTTGACAGGTAAGAAATTACTAATTATGTAGCAAAAAAGAAAGAATGCCTTGTTCTGGTGGTGTCCCTCTGTGCTTTCCCATCCTATCAAAACTTCGTTTACTCACACATCAAAAAGCGACAAAGCTTTTTAAAAATACAGATGGGTATGCAATGAATGAATTTTTGGAGAAATGCGTCAGCGTTCCTCGGTCGCTGTCCATAAGTCATTCACAGTGGCCGTCGCTTGATTGGTACGGCGTTGTGACTCGGTATTGCAGCAGCCAATTCGCTGTTATGTTGCGAATGGATGTCTCCATGGACTAACTGGTATTCTTTACGGCGGCCTTGGTCAAATCATCGATTATTGATACTGCTATCGCTTCATCCCTCAATTAGGCAAGCATCACCGTCTTGATTTTCTCTTCAGCCCACTGACTCCAAGATCGTTTCGACGGTCATTTGATGTTCGACTTCTACTTCCTTGGTGTCGCTACTTTTAACGGTTTCGCCAAAAATCTTTGACTGATGACCTGCTTGTCCCGACGAATGTCACCTAGCCATTGTAAATAAGCAGAATTTATCAGATCATCATCGCCACAACTAAATAAAAAGCGCCCGACGTCGTACTCCGCGTTGTCTTTGCTATTTTCGGTTTGTATCGGTGCTTACTAGGAGAAACTGTTCAGCCGGAGCAAGAATGCACTTGTGTTTACGAAGCAAATAGGATTTAAATATTGGAAGCCACCAATCTTTGAGACGATCTGGGGTACAACTCACCAAGGAACTACATATTGAATGATCAATCGTGAATTCTGTAAGCCACACAGATACACTAGTTTATTCTCTTTAAGCATCTTAATCCAATGATTTTGCGTTCACATATAAAAACAATACAAATGTATGATGAGAGAGGGTCAGACTGTCTTTTACTAAAACTTAACACATTTCTTTAATGTCCGTTTAAGAATTCGCCACAATGTTCAACCATAAGACACCGTTTTCTGCGCTAGCTAATATTCTTAGCTCAATACATAAGATGCTAAATGGGCACTATAATTTTGGTCATGTTTGAGCTGTAAACAATTTGAGGTGCAGAAGAAGACCGCAAAGGTGGCCAATGACTACTTCAAACAGTCCTGATGGGCAATCTCCACTTTCCCTAGCTTATATCTCCGGAGATGGGTATACGGGAAAGCATCAATGTCTTATCGAATTCTCTAAACCAAACTAAACTTTGCACTTAGCGAACGGATTGACGGCTTACAGGCGTAGAAAATGGGAATAACCTTCTTTTTGCCAGGGTGCCTGATGTTATTTCTTAGCCAGCGCAACACACATCTCGGGATGCCCTGCCTAATTAGTTCTGCTTATATTGCACTCTGCGCTCAACTACGTGGCTCACGCAATGGGAGAACCCCTGAAACGGGATACATCGCATGGTATTTTACATAACGTAGATGTCTTGCGTGGGCATCATGT